GCTGGTGACATCCTGTATAAATAAAAATACTAAGCCCTTACTAAGTCGTGGCCACGCATTAGGATCTTGTTCCCACGTGTTAATAAGGTGTGGCTATGCATTATTTTTGTTTATACAAGATGTCACCAGCGGAGCTCCGTACCTGACGCCGGGAACGAGGAGGTTGATAATTAGTTATTAAGCTGGATCATGTGTTTTATACGAAGCCCCGCTGGTGACATCCTATATAAATAAAATAATGCGTGGCCACGACTTAGTACGGCGTGGGAATGAGATCCTAATGCGTAGCCACAACTTAGTAAGCCGTAATCTTGTTCCCACGCCTTACTAAGTCGTGGCCACGCATTAGGATCTCGTTCCCACATTATTTTTATTTATACAGGATGTCACCAGCGGGGCTCTGTAGCTACGTCAGCGAAGTGATGACATCAAAATACAAAACAGAATACAAACATTAAATACAAAACACTAACATTTTACATTCTGGTGGTTGTAGTTTTCATGTACTAGTGCTTGCTGACTGTATCCTCACCCGCAGAAGTGAGGAATTGGGTAACAATACACTGCTCTGGTTTACGATGAGCATAGGGTAGTGTTGCCAGATTGCGTCTGTGTTTATCAGGAAAATTGTGTGAAAACCCACCGAAAAGTGGACAGAACAAATGTCAACATTTCAACTATAATACTAAATATTACAGTATTTAATCCACACTAATAATAAACTGCTGGAGACGTTAAAGGGGAGTTCCACTGATTTATTTATTTATTTATCAATTTTTTTTTTCAAATTTCTCCCTCACAGAAAGTTATTACATGAAATGGTTATGAACTCATTTCCAGTTTTCCAAGACATTGTTTTATGATAGTTTTGTGATAAACCTTTGGACCTTTTTAAAATCAATTTATGGTGAAGGGATACATGTAGGGTGTTATAAGGCAAAGTAGTCCCCAATAAAACTTTCTTTCTGGATTATCCTCTATTTTCCCATCATTAACATTCCATATAGACACTATATATATATATATCGGCTCACTGGTGGTTCTGGATAGTAAATAAAATGTCTATATTTGTGTTGTGGTCATGGTGACCCCTGGTTCCCATCACCGCCACTGTAAAGACATCTGAACAGTTTCACACCAAACCACTCCAAATGACTGTTTACAGCTTAATGAATTAAGCAGAAAATCTGAAATATCGGTGGAGTTCCCCTTTAGCTGCTGGTGTCCTGGAAGATTTGCAGAAATGTAGTTTATTTAAGTTGTCGCTAGATGGCGCTGCCAGCGTGTTTACTGCCGCAGGTACAAACAACCGAAAGCTTTTTGTACCATTTTACTCCCTGTCAAACAACACATACACAAACTAGAAGTAATGTCATTTAAACGATGAAAGACTGTAACTAAAATAAGTTTAATTTAAATGACTTTATTTGTGTGTTTATTATTTGTGGCACGAGCTCATCAGTGTTTTCAGAGTATTAACATTTTTTACTTAAATGTTTTGTATGTGATTTATACAGAGCCATTAAGGTGATGTGGTGATTATTTTTATAATAAGGCATGGCCACAAATTAATATATTGAGGCCACGAGTTACTATATAGAGACTACAAATTAATACATTGAGGCAACAAATTACTATACTGAGGCCACAAATGAATATATTGAGGCCACAAGTTACTATATACAGGCTACAAATTAATATATTGAGGCCAAGTTACCATATTGAGGCCACAAAATAACAAATTGAGGCCATGAGTTACCATACTGAAGCCACAAATTACTATATTGAGGCCACAAACTAACATATTGAGACCACAAATTAACATATTGAGGCCACAAATTAACATACAGAGGCCAAAAGTTACCATATTGAGACCACAAGTTATTATATTAAGGCCACAAATTAACATATGAAGGCCAAAAGTTACCATATTGAGGTCACAAGTTATTATATTAAGGTCACAAATGAACATATTGAGGCCACAAATTAAGACAGTGAGGCAAGACGTTACTATACCGGGGCCAGAAATTAACATTTTAAGGCCACGACTTAACATATTAAAGCCACAAATTACTATAATGAGACCATGACTTAATATAATGAGGATACAAGATAAGAGAAACTTAACTTGTGGCATCAATATATGAATTTGTGGCCACACTTCATTACAACATAATCACCACACACATAACCCATAATCCTAGAGAGAAACAAGTAAACAAAATGCTGCAAGAATTAATGCCCTTCATCATCTCTGAGACTGTGAACGGTGCAGATGGGCGGAGCCAAGTCCTCCTCTCAACACCAGGGAATAAAACCTGTTATGTTTATTCCAATTTCATACAACCAGCATTGTTAAAGGGGAACTCCACTTATTCCATTCCTTTGTATTTTAATAAGGCATGGCCACAAATGACTATTTCAAGGCCACAAATTAACATATTGAGGCCAAAGATTCATATATTGAGGTCACAAATTAATATATTAAGGCCATGAGTTACCATACTGAGGCCACAAATACACATATTAAGGCCACAAATTAATTACAATATTGAGGCCAGAAATGAACACATTAAGGCCACAAATTAACACATTAAGGCTAGAAGTTACCACACTGAGGCCACAAATTACTATATTGAGACCACAAAATACGATACTGTACTGTAGTGAATAAAATCTGTTATGTTCATTCCAGTTTCATTCAATTTGTATTATTGAAGGAGAACTCCACCAATTTTTCAAAATATCTGCATAAGTAAAGCATCGTGATGTAAACAGAGTCATTCAGAGTGGTTTGGTGTGAAATGCTCTGTTCTAGAGAAACTTACCGAGTCAGAACTGTTCACAGTGGTGGTGATAGGAACCAGACGTCCACCTCTAAAAGCTCCCTCACAGAAAGTTATTACATGAAATGGTTATGAATTCACTGCCTGATGACTGAGACACTGTTTTATGATACTTTTGTGATAACGTTTTGGCCCAAAACGTATTGTAATCTATTTATTTTACTCTATTCTTGGTGGGGGGATACATGAAAGGCAAAGTAGTCCCCAATAAAACTTTTTAAACTTTCTAGATTTACCTCTACTTTTCCATCATTAACAGTACATATAAACACTCAGAAGACTCGTGCAGGTTCACTGGTGGTTCTGGATAGTAAATAAAATGTCTATGTTTGTGTTGTAGTCATGGTGACCCCTGGTTCCTATCACCACCACTGTAAAGACATCTGAGTCTGCAAGTTTCTCTAGAACGGAGTATTTCACACCAAACCAACCTGAACGACTGTGTTTACATTGTAAGCACTAAATTATGCAGCCTTTTTGAAAAATAAGTGGAGTTTCCCTTTAAGCAATGCGAAATCACCACAAACTCGTGCAAACTGAACATCCACAACCGGCTTCTGTTTAACTTTAACAGATTTAAACTTAAATTTATTACTTTGACGATGAAAACAGTTCACTTTCTTCATAACCAGCATGGCAGCATTCATTTACACAGATACCTGATCTACTCACTGTGGCTCCCTGAGCTGATCTACTCACTGTGGCTCCCTGTGCATGAGTGACTGTCCTGATACTTTTGAAGCACTTTACACTAAAAAAAGTGGTATACTGAGCTGACTTTACACATTTTCCCTTGAAATTTTGTTCTATCGTGTGTCATGCATTGTTTTGCGTACACTGCCTTACTGTTTTATTTCATTATACTGTGAATAATAATAATAATAATATCTTTATTTATAGAGCCCTTTTCACACCAAAGTGCTTCACCGACAGGTGATAAAGCTTAATAACAACAGAAAAAACTATATAGTAGAGTATAAATTTAAAATCATATAAGTAAATGACACAAATGAGATTAAAGAGATGAACACAGAAGAGCCGTAGTTTTAATGAAGCGCTGAGTTAAAGAGATTTGGTTTTAGATGCTTCTTAAAAGTGAGCTCTGAGCTTGACTGTCTAATAAAAGGTGAATTGAGCTTCACAGTTTAGAAGCAGAATAACTGAAAGAGTCTCTCCATGTTTTCTGTATTTTCAGAAGGTGTTTACAGAAGGTCAGTATCTGCAGATCTAAGATCATAAAAAGACAGACACTCTGTGATGTAAGCAGTGCTTTAAGGTCATTTAGAGAGCTTTAAAATCTATCCTGAATGATACAGGCAGTCAGTGCAGCTCTTTTAAAGACGGGAGTGATCTGATCTCTCTGTTTAGCTTTTGTTAGGATGCTGCTGTGTTTTGTACCAGTTGTAGAGGATATATTGTTTTTTAGGAAGTCCAGTAAGAAGATCATTACAGTGATCAACTCTGCTTGTAACAAATGCATCAGCAAGTTTCTCAGCGTCGCTCTGAGAGAGAAAAGGCAGAATTTTAGTGATGTTTCTCACATGATGAAAAGCTGCTTTAGTGACTGTGTTTACATGCAGATAAAGCTCAGAGTCACACCCAGGTTTCCTACTTCAGGTTTGGTATATGAAGCTGAAAAACCAAGTTTCTCATAAATCATTTTTCTCTGAGTTTCTGTACCAAATCAATATTTCAGTTTTTTCATGATTAATTGTAGAAAGTTTTGTGACATCCACTGAGAAATATCTGACACATATATGTTTACATAAAGGTTATTATTATTATTATTGTTATTATTATTATTATTTTTATAATTATCAGAATGCTTAGGGCCATTTCTTCGTATAAGCGGTATAAGCTGTCAGTTAGGGCTCCTAAGCCACCGGGGGTCTAAATTATTTATTTATTACTTTATTTATTGACTGTTCAGTTTTAAATATCATTTGTTTAAAAAGGCATTTTCTGGATCAAAATGGGAAAAAAATAATCATTTAATTTTTTCTTCTCTTGCAAACAAAACACTGGGATTGGGAGGGCTGGCGTCCCAAGTAATGTGGCACTTAGCGCCCCAACATTGGGCTGAACTATTAGGCCTGTTTAATTTGACATTGCAATTTATGAAATGCTGAATAAAAATCACTATTCATAGTTTTTATAGTAATTTTTAAACACAACGTTACTGATTACTTTTTTGCCTGTTACTTCAAACTGCAAACGTGCTACAGATTGTGTATCGTGAAAATGTCTCAAAGTATCATGATATATTTCTGCCGTATCGCCCTCCCCTAAGTAACCATGTCATTTTGGACCACACTATTGCTTTAACCCTGAAGACTTATGGGTAACTGAAGCGCACATGCCGCAAGGTCGGCATAAGGTCGGGGCATCATTCCGAGTTTGTCCCAGCAGTTTTCCCGAGGATCGTAGCGATGAACCCATGGCATGTCTCGCGCAGAGTCAGCCGAAGACCCACCCAGGATGTACAGCTGTCCATCGAGATAAGTGGCGGCAGGGGAGAGGTGAGGCCGAGGCAGGAGGGGCAGAGGTGTCCAGGAATTCCTGAGCAGATCATATGCCTCGCATTGTAACTGGTCGCCATACCCCACCCACATGGGCTGCAGCCCCCCAGCCACGACCAGTTGGTTTCCCACAGCCAGCATCACATGACCTGCACGACCTGCTCCGCTTGCCATGGGAGCGCAGCTAGAGCAGCCGTAGACGGGGTCGTAGTGCCATAAAGAAGGAAGGCAGCGCAGACGAGAGTCACAACCACCGGAAACGTAAATCTCCCTGTCCAGCACCGCAGCTGCATGGCCACAGACGGGTGTGTCTAAAGGGTGAGCCAACCTATCAGAGGTGCAGATATAGAGAAGGAAAAAACAACCTTTAAAAACAGAAGTATCTCCAAAATGGGAACTTTACAGAGGAAGGCAAAAATGCTCTTTAGTTTTAATATAAGTCAATGTACTGAGATTTTTTGTCTTTTTGGACCTTTTTTATTGGTTCATTCCTCATGACATTTTTAAAACAGTGTAAATGTCAGCTGCTGTGCTCAATTGATGCAGAAAAATAAAAATTAAAAAAGCTTTTTATTTTGGACAGCATCAATATGCAGGTCATTTAAATGCTTAACAAATAAATAATTAATATGTTTGCCCTTAAAGGAATACCTCAGCATCTTTTAACCTAATATCTATCTGTCGCATCTGAATACAGTTACTGAGGGCCAATAATTCTGATACATTTCCCAATGAAAAACACACTGACAAACACTTATAATAGAAGATACTGGGCAGTTGCTGAATTCTGCCAGTTTTCGCAGGCTACTGTCTGATTGCACATAATGCCATCTATTGTTTTTGGCCTATTTTACTGGTGTTCTGAACTCATCTGCCAGGTGGGTCACTGTACGTGTTTAAAATTTACTTACCATTTACTATATTTTTACTAATTATCTTAATGCTTTCCATTGTTTGACTGTTCATTTTTGTTCTCCACCATGTTGAAAACAGTATTGACGCCACAACTCAGCTAGTCCTGTGGGCAGCGTCCTGTGGGCAGCGTCCTGTGACCACTGATGAAGGACTAGAGGATGACCAACACAAACTGTGCAGCAGCAGATGAGCTATCGTCTCTGACTTTACATCTATAAGGTGGACTGACAAGGTAGGAGTGTCTAATAGAGTGGACAGTGAGTGGACACAGTGTTTAAAAACTCCAGCAGCACTGCTGTGTCTGATCCACTCAGACCAGCACAACACACACTAACACACCACCACCACATCAGTGTCACTGCAGTGCTGTGAATGACCCACCACCCAAATAGTACCTGCTCTGTGAGGGTCCATGGGGGTTCTGACCACTTGAGAACAGGGTAACAAAGTATGCAGAGAAACAGATGGACTACAGTTTGTAACAGTAGAACTACAGAGGGAAACTATATGGTCAGTGGAGCTGATAAAGTGGACACTGAGTGTAGAAACAAAGAGGGGGACTTAATGTTATGGTTGATAGGTGTAATCTAATATGCTGTGACACAGTTGGATACAATATGTACCAAACTTTAACGTCTCTAATAGTCATGTACTTTTCAAAATTCATGTAATTCAGCAAATTCAAAGAATTCAACATGCTGTCTCGAATGGTGTCGCAGCGTATATGATTGTATCGCCGTATGGTGACTAGTGTTAGCTTGGGACACTACAAAGCACATTTATTTCAAATATTGTACTTTTAATAATGTTACGATGATGTATGAAGGTCTAAATGTCTGTTCACATCATTGCAGCAAGGTATTCTGTATGATGGCAAGATCTGACTGAGTCATCGTTCAAGGTGACAAATCAAGCGTTAGCAGAACTAATGTCAGGTTAAAAATGCTGGAGTATCTCCTTAAAAACAACCCACCCTCCATAAATTTGAGTTACTTTGTTACACAGCACTTCAACACTGTACGCGGTTCTTCAAAGCATGAACAAAATGAAGTGGGACTATACCTCCAGGTGTTATCTTCAGGTGTGTAGTACTCCACAGAATCCAGGCAATTCATGTCATCATAGTTACCACCCAGGACAAACACCTTGCCCCCTTTACACACAGCAGCAAAGTAGTCTCTAGGACTGGCCATATCTGGCAAACACTCCCATTTTCCTTGGGCAGGGTCGAATCTGAAAACATGCACAGACTCCATTATAAGCTTTCTCAACCTCTTTGGCCTCTCTGCACCATCTTCATGAGGATTTATACATTGAACTGTGCATTACTACAGGGCTTGGGAATGTGACTGGTGTCTTATGGATGATCCACCATTGTGGCGGGGTTAGACCATCTACGCTGGTTCTGAATAGTTGAGTGTTCCTTTCCTACCTGCTTTACTTGATTTTGCCTGATCCAAAGCTCGTGGACTCACTACATACACTGGCAGAGCTGATTAGCGTGTGAATCGACATGACTACAAGAGCAAAATCAAGACAATTAGCACTTGTCTGTGTATATTTTAGATCAACTGTCTTTCAGTGTAAACTTTATCTAATGATCTAATGTGGATTTTTGTGGGATTTAATATAATACAGGACCATTAGGTTGCTAACTATCTAGGCTAGCAGTGTTTGTCAAAAGGCTCTATACAGTGGAAAATGTCAATAACTTAGTCAAATATGTCAAATATGCCAGTAACTGAGTTACATACCACTAACTGAGTTGAATATGCCAATATCAGAGTTAAATATACCACTAACTGAGTTAAATATGCCACTAACTGAGTTGAATATGCCAATATCAGAGTTAAATATACCACTAACTGAGTTAAATATGCCAATATCAGAGTTAAATATGCCACTAACTGAGTTAAATATGCCAATATCAGAGTTAAATATGCCACTAACTGAGTTAAATATGCCAATATCAGAGTTAAATATGCCACTAACTGAGTTGAATATGCCACTAACTGAGTTAAATATGCCAATATCAGAGTTAAATATACCACTAACTGAGTTGAATATGCCAATATCAGAGTTAAATATGCCACTAACTGAGTTAAATATGCCAATATCAGAGTTAAATATGCCACTAACTGAGTTAAATATGCCAATATCAGAGTTAAATATGCCACTAACTGAGTTAAATATGCCAATATCAGAGTTAAATATACCACTAACTGAGTTAAATATGCCAATATCAGAGTTAAATATGCCACTAATTGAGTTAAATATGCCACTAACTGAGTTAAATATGCCAATATCAGAGTTAAATATGCCACTAACTGAGTTAAATATGCCAATATCAGAGTTAAATATGCCACTAACTGAGTTAAATATGCCAATATCAGAGTTAAATATGCCACTAACTGAGTTAAATATGCCAATATCAGAGTTAAATATACCACTAACTGAGTTGAATATGCCAATATCAGAGTTAAATATGCCACTAACTGAGTTAAATATGCCAATATCAGAGTTAAATATGCCACTAACTGAGTTAAATATGCCAATATCAGAGTTAAATATGCCACTAACTGAGTTAAATATGCCAATATCAGAGTTAAATATACCACTAACTGAGTTAAATATGCCAATATCAGAGTTAAATATGCCACTAATTGAGTTAAATATGCCACTAACTGAGTTAAATATGCCAATATCAGAGTTAAATATGCCACTAACTGAGTTAAATATGCCAATATCAGAGTTAAATATGCCACTAACTGAGTTAAATATGCCAATATCAGAGTTAAATATGCCACTAACTGAGTTAAATATGCCAATATCAGAGTTAAATATGCCACTAACTGAGTTAAATATGCCAATATCAGAGTTAAATATACCACTAACTGAGTTAAATATGCCAATATCAGAGTTAAATATGCCACTAACTGAGTTAAATATACCACTAACTGAGTTAAATATACCACTAACTGTGTTAAATATACCACTAACTGAGTTAAATATGCCACTAACTGAGTTAAATATGCCAATATCAGAGTTAAATATGCCACTAACTGAGTTAAATATACCACTAACTGAGTTAAATATGCCACTAACTGAGTTAAATATGCCACTAACTGAGTTAAATATGCCAATATCAGAGTTAAATATGCCACTAACTGAGTTAAATATGCCAATATCAGAGTTAAATATGCCACTAACTGAGTTAAATATGCCAATATCAGAGTTAAATATACCACTAACTGAGTTGAATATGCCAATATCAGAGTTAAATATACCACTAACTGAGTTAAATATGCCACTAACTGAGTTGAATATGCCAATATCAGAGTTAAATATACCACTAACTGAGTTGAATATGCCAATATCAGAGTTAAATATGCCACTAACTGAGTTAAATATGCCAATATCAGAGTTAAATATGCCACTAACTGAGTTAAATATGCCAATATCAGAGTTAAATATACCACTAACTGAGTTAAATATGCCAATATCAGAGTTAAATATGCCACTAACTGAGTTAAATATACCACTAACTGAGTTAAATATGCCACTAACTGAGTTAAATATGCCAATATCAGAGTTAAATATGCCACTAACTGAGTTAAATATGCCAATATCAGAGTTAAATATGCCACTAACTGAGTTAAATATGCCAATATCAGAGTTAAATATACCACTAACTGAGTTGAATATGCCAATATCAGAGTTAAATATACCACTAACTGAGTTAAATATACCACTAACTGAGTTGAATATGCCAATATCAGAGTTAAATATACCACTAACTGAGTTGAATATGCCAATATCAGAGTTAAATATGCCACTAACTGAGTTAAATATGCCAATATCAGAGTTAAATATGCCACTAACTGAGTTAAATATGCCAATATCAGAGTTAAATATACCACTAACTGAGTTAAATATGCCAATATCAGAGTTAAATATGCCACTAACTGAGTTAAATATACCACTAACTGAGTTAAATATGCCACTAACTGAGTTAAATATGCCAATATCAGAGTTAAATATGCCACTAACTGAGTTAAATATGCCAATATCAGAGTTAAATATGCCACTAACTGAGTTAAATATGCCAATATCAGAGTTAAATATGCCACTAACTGAGTTAAATATGCCAATATCAGAGTTAAATATACCACTAACTGAGTTGAATATGCCAATATCAGAGTTAAATATGCCACTAACTGAGTTAAATATGCCAATATCAGAGTTAAATATGCCACTAACTGAGTTAAATATGCCAATATCAGAGTTAAATATGCCACTAACTGAGTTAAATATGCCAATATCAGAGGTAAATATGCCACTAACTGAGTTAAATATGCCAATATCAGAGTTAAATATGCCACTAACTGAGTTAAATATGCCAATATCAGAGTTAAATATGCCACTAACTGAGTTAAATATGCCAATATCAGAGTTAAATATGCCACTAACTGAGTTAAATATGCCAATATCAGAGTTAAATATACCACTAACTGAGTTGAATATGCCAATATCAGAGTTAAATATACCACTAACTGAGTTAAATATGCCACTAACTGAGTTGAATATGCCAATATCAGAGTTAAATATACCACTAACTGAGTTGAATATGCCAATATCAGAGTTAAATATACCACTAACTGAGTTAAATATGCCACTAACTGAGTTGAATATGCCAATATCAGAGTTAAATATACCACTAACTGAGTTGAATATGCCAATATCAGAGTTAAATATGCCACTAACTGAGTTAAATATGCCAATATCAGAGTTAAATATGCCACTAACTGAGTTAAATATGCCAATATCAGAGTTAAATATACCACTAACTGAGTTAAATATGCCAATATCAGAGTTAAATATGCCACTAACTGAGTTAAATATACCACTAACTGAGTTAAATATGCCACTAACTGAGTTAAATATGCCAATATCAGAGTTAAATATGCCACTAACTGAGTTAAATATGCCAATATCAGAGTTAAATATGCCACTAACTGAGTTAAATATGCCAATATCAGAGTTAAATATGCCACTAACTGAGTTAAATATGCCAATATCAGAGTTAAATATACCACTAACTGAGTTGAATATGCCAATATCAGAGTTAAATATACCACTAACTGAGTTAAATATACCACTAACTGAGTTGAATATGCCAATATCAGAGTTAAATATACCACTAACTGAGTTGAATATGCCAATATCAGAGTTAAATATGCCACTAACTGAGTTAAATATGCCAATATCAGAGTTAAATATGCCACTAACTGAGTTAAATATGCCAATATCAGAGTTAAATATACCACTAACTGAGTTAAATATGCCAATATCAGAGTTAAATATGCCACTAACTGAGTTAAATATACCACTAACTGAGTTAAATATGCCACTAACTGAGTTAAATATGCCAATATCAGAGTTAAATATGCCACTAACTGAGTTAAATATGCCAATATCAGAGTTAAATATGCCACTAACTGAGTTAAATATGCCAATATCAGAGTTAAATATGCCACTAACTGAGTTAAATATGCCAATATCAGAGTTAAATATACCACTAACTGAGTTGAATATGCCAATATCAGAGTTAAATATGCCACTAACTGAGTTAAATATGCCAATATCAGAGTTAAATATGCCACTAACTGAGTTAAATATGCCAATATCAGAGTTAAATATGCCACTAACTGAGTTAAATATGCCAATATCAGAGGTAAATATGCCACTAACTGAGTTAAATATGCCAATATCAGAGTTAAATATGCCACTAACTGAGTTAAATATGCCAATATCAGAGTTAAATATGCCACTAACTGAGTTAAATATGCCAATATCAGAGTTAAATATGCCACTAACTGAGTTAAATATGCCAATATCAGAGTTAAATATGCCACTAACTGAGTTAAATATGCCAATATCAGAGTTAAATATACCACTAACTGAGTTGAATATGCCAATATCAGAGTTAAATATGCCACTAACTGAGTTAAATATGCCAATATCAGAGTTAAATATGCCACTAACTGAGTTAAATATGCCAATATCAGAGTTAAATATACCACTAACTGAGTTAAATATGCCAATATCAGAGGTAAATATGCCACTAACTGAGTTAAATATACCACTAAGTTAAATATACCACTAACTGTGTTAAATATACCACTAACTGAGTTAAATATACCACTAACTGTGTTAAATATACCACTAACTGAGTTAAATATACCACTAACTGTGTTAAATATACCACTAACTGTGTTAAATATACCACTAACTGTTAAATATGCCACTAACTGAGTTAAATATACCACTAACTGTGTTAAATATACCACTAACTGTTAAATATGCCACTAACTGAGTTAAATATACCACTAACTGAGTTAAATATGTCACTAACTGAGTTAAATATACCACTAACTGTGTTAAATATACCACTAACTGTGTTAAATATGCCACTAACTGAGTTAAATATACCACTAACTGTGTTAAATATACCACTAACTGAGTTAAATATACCACTAACTGAGTTAAATATGCCAATATCAGAGTTAAATATGCCACTAACTGAGTTGAATATGCCAATATCAGAGTTAAATATGCCACTAACTGAGTTAAATATGCCAATATCAGAGTTAAATATACCACTAACTGAGTTAAATATGCCACTAACTGAGTTAAATATACCACTAACTGAGTTAAATATACCACTAACTGAGTTAAATATACCACTAACTGTGTTAAATATACCACTAACTGAGTTAAATATACCACTAACTGTGTTAAATATACCACTAACTGAGTTAAATATACCACTAACTGAGTTAAATATACCACTAACTGAGTTAAATATACCACTAACTGTGTTAAGTATACCACTAACTGTGTTAAATATACCACTAACTGTGTTAAATATACCACTAACTGTGTTAAATATACCACTAACTGTGTTAAATATACCACTAACTGAGTTAAATATGCCAATATCAGAGTTAAATATGCCACTAACTGAGTTGAATATGCCAATATCAGAGTTAAATATGCCACTAACTGAGTTAAATATGCCAATATCAGAGTTAAATATACCACTAACTGAGTTAAATATGCTACTAACTGAGTTAAATATACCACTAACTGAGTTAAATGTACCACTAACTGAGTTAAATATACCACTAACTGAGTTAAATATACCACTAACTGAGTTAAATATACCACTAACTGTGTTAAATATGCCACTAACTGAGTTAAATATGCCACTAACTGAGTTAAATATACCACTAACTGAGTTAAATATACCACTAACTGAGTTAAATATACCACTAACTGTGTTAAATATGCCACTAACTGAGTTAAATATGCCACTAACTGAGTTAAATATACCACTAACTGTGTTAAATATACCACTAACTGAGTTAAATATGCCAATATCAGAGTTAAATATACCACTAACTGAGTTAAATATACCACTAACTGTGTTAAATATACCACTAACTGTGTTAAATATACCACTAACTGTGTTAAATATACCACTAACTGAGTTAAATATACCACTAACTGTGTTAAATATACCACTAACTGTGTTAAATATACCACTAACTGAGTTAAATATACCACTAACTGAGTTAAATATACCACTAACTGAGTTAAATATGCCAATATCAGAGTTAAATATACCACTAACTGTGTTAAATATGCCACTAACTGAGTTAAATATACCACTAACTGTGTTAAATATACCACTAACTGTGTTAAATATACCACTGAGTTAAATATACCACTAACTGTGTTAAATATGCCACTAACTGAGTTAAATATACCACTAACTGTGTTAAATATACCACTAACTGTGTTAAATATACCACTAACTGTGTTAAATATACCACTGAGTTAAATATACCACTAACTGTGTTAAATATACCACTAACTGTGTTAAATATACCACTAACTGAGTTAAATATACCACTAACTGAGTTAAATATACCACTTGAGTGTTCAGCCAAGCTGGTAAATGGTATTTTACATTTAAAAAAGGAACAAAGGGAAATCGGGGGGAGCCAGTTTGCATGGGCCTGATCCAGTTGATGAAGTTAATAACAGTGTTATGTATTATTTTTCAGTTGTTATGCTTAAGTTTGTCAGCAGAGGAGAAAATATTGACTTGACTGATAAATATTGTTTGTTTATACCTCTTTCTGTTCTGTATAGCTCTTATGTAGGCATATAGTCTTACACTTAGACTGACAGATGGAGCAAAATGGTTTAAAGGAGGCAGGACTGTAATGGAAGCACTGGGGTATCAGGTGTGACTGTGTGGAAATTGCACATGGTTTACATGGTGAATGTTGCTGAGGGCCCCATGCAGGGATATTAGGACTGGCCACATACCAGCTAGGAAAAAACTCTGGGAACGAAAGAGGAGGTGGCATATCCAGGTCATTTGTACAGATACACACCATCAATATGGTTAATTTTATCCATACGCAGTTCACTATTCCTCTGGAGTTCTCTGATTCATTTTAAGCAAGAAAAGTCTATAAAATCATCAATCTCTTTAAACTCTCACAGTGTGTATAAGTATGACACTGATTCCCATCATAATTGCAGTACTAGCTAAATAAGAACCTCTTTGGGGTCTTTTTTTCATACGAAAGCTTCATTTTCTTTTGTGACGACCAAATGAACATCAGCTGTCGTACCACAACGGACAGCTGGTGGACATTTGGTCCCTTTAATGAGAGTAAAATACAACACAAGCAAAGCTTTACCTCACTGCAGACTTCAGTATGTCCAGTTTTCCGTAGTACTTGCGGCCCCCCAGTACGTACAGTATATTATTGAGCACACACACGCAGTGGCGGAGTCGCGAGGGCTCCGGGAGCTGAGCCAGTGGCTCCCACTCCACAGTCCGAATGAGGCCCTCTCCACGCAGAAAGCGACGAGCGAACCACAGGCAGTGGTTCGGCTCCCGCCGCTCGAAGTTCTCATTCACGCTGTCTCCCCCAACCAGCACCAAGACCTGCGAGGTACGAAGACAGAGATGGATGGATCCTTCTGTCAATTCATTCAATTTAAAACTAATTATAAAACGGATAGTTCTGGTCCTAAAATCGGATTGGCTGAGCCGCATTCAAACTTGTTATAAAATCCACGATATACGCACACCTATGACGCCTCACAGCGACTGCGAAAAGTAAAGAGCAACTGTGCATCACGGCACCACGGCACGAAAAACCCTTGTGCTGTTAATGGAATAATCTTTAACTCTCATGCTGTTTGCATGAAGCAACGAGTGTACTGATGAAGTAAGAACCCGTTTTTGTTTAAACTGAGGGGCTGACAGCTTATGTTCTTGACTAGAACTTGGCTGGTCAGCTAGGCTAAAAGACAGAACAGCCTAAACAGCTCCATCATTAATACCACAGGCTTGAATTAAAGCACTTACAGTATGATTAACTGTAAAACTGCAGTATAAAAGTCTAAAAATGTCACTTCAATGTTTTACACGTTTCAAATGTTTGTGTTTCAGTCAGAAGTCGCGTCAAACCCAGGCTGAATCCCAAACGGCTCTGTACTCCCTAAATAGTGTTCTAGCTATGAAAGTTTAGAAATTCTAGCCTCTACAGCCAAACAGTGCATCATGTATCGAGTGTGGATGTGTCTGAGTCCCAAACGACTGTTTCTTAGCTGTATTATTCACTGTTGGGCTGCAGGATCGAGTATTTAAACTCCTACGTAGTGCACTATGTAGGGAGCAGGGAGACCATTTGAGATTCAGCCCCAGTGTGAGAAGAGGGACGCTGCTGGATTGGTGCTAAATAAGACTCGCGGTGGTAATTTGGTACTTATAAAGTACCAAAAGTACTTTGTAAAAAGTAAAGTCCTTATAAAGCGAAGTTTTTTGCATTAATGATAGCTCCTAAACAAAGGAGCTACATTTCTTGGAGGAATACTTGTTTATGTTGATTATTACTAATAATAACTTACACAATTTTTCAGAAAATAATTTATTTTATCATATTTTATGTTGGCTGCCATTTTATAAAAGTAATAAGCCACCTGAAGCCGTGCGTTACTGCTTCACATCGTGCCTAAGAACAGAGCCTTTAGTCCTTTCCCCATGATACACTGTTATTAATACACTGCCTGCTGTCTGAGACACTGTTTTATGATAGAACTATGATAAAACTTTACCACTATTTTACTAGTATCCACATTTCATATAAAAGCTCATGTGTAGGTTCGCTGGTGGTTTTGGATTATGCAGAAATTCTGAAATATCGGTGCTATTCCCCTTTAATGTACTCAGGTAAAATAAGGATAAGCACATACAGGTTCAAATCAGATACAAACACTACCTGATTTGGGGTACGAGGTTTACAGCCTACAACTCTTTGATTTCCCTCTAGAAGTTTCCTCACTGTCTCCAAGGCTGCCCTTCCTTCTGAGCTCCTACTCAGCAGTCTGCAGTTCTGGACCTGAGGGAATGAAAGCAGAACAAACACCAGTGGTACCATGAGGGCAGAGGCCTGTTCCAGTATAGGAAGGTCACAGTATTCAAAGATATTAACCAGGGTTTCTTCCAGGCTGAAGCTCTTCAGGGATCACAGTTTTCTTTCTAACACTCTAAATACAACTCACAGAGGCTTTGCTAATTAGTTGATAAGTTGAATCAGGCGCGTTTAATGAGGCAGAACCCTAAACTCTGCAGAGGGTTCTCTAAGGTAGTCTAAGCCAAGGGTTTTTACGGTGGGGATTGGGACAGTGGTGCTACGAGACATAAGACTTGACGAGAGAAAATAATTTGATTAGCAGAAGCACCGCTGATCGGCTCCACCTACAGGCCACGGAAGAGGGAGGGTCGTGATTGGCCGCTAAACTTGAAAAACTTGAAGCCACTTTTTAGCACCGGGCTAAAGATTGGCGGATTGCAGCCTCAGTTAGTGAGTAAACTGTGTGATTACTGTCAGGTTTGGGATGTACTGGAATATCAGTCCTAGTCATCTCTTAAAATGGTCAGCCTGGGGCTTCGGTAAAAACTGTAGTTAATAACAGTTTAGATTTTTTTAAGGCCCAGTCCCATTTCTGATTTTTACCCCTACCTCTTGTTTTCGAGTGTCTCCTTGCCTCTTGGAACTGAGTTATAAGGGGTAGTGGTTGAAATCTTCCCTCTGAAATGAGACCCTCAAATAAAAAGAGCATCACTTCATTAACAGCTACTAGCGCTGCTCTGTAGGCGACCCTGCCAGTCTGCAGTGACAGCAGAGGAGGGTAAAGTTCAGCTCCTCACTGCTGGGCTTTAGTTACATTTAGGGGATCATATGCCTTCAAAGAGGGGGGCAATTATTTATTATCACCCACCCCTAATTCTTATATATTCACCAGACTCTTGTTTGAATTTTCCCGTTCCACCTTAAATGGAGCAGCAGTTACATTGTGGTGGTTCAGACAGGAAATGTTAGCTACTAGAGATTTTTTATGTTCGTTATGAAGAAAAGAACCAAAACCACATTAAACTAGATAAAACAGTGGTTATCATAATTTTTAACAGAGAAAATTCTCACATTTGTGGGTTTCTTTGGTCGCTTGCGCAGCCATCTTACTGTTTTTTCTTTTTTTCTCATAATACAAAAACAACATATCAAAGGTTGAAACTGAGAAATGTTATTATTTTTGAAAAATATTTGCCCATTTTGAATTCGATGTCAACAACACGTTCCAACAAAGTTGGGACGGGGGCCTGTTTACCACTGTGTTTCATCACCTCTTCTTTAACAACACTCTGTAAGCATTTGGGAACTGAGGAGACACTGCTGTAGTTCTGAAAGTGAAATGTTTTCCCGTTCTTACTTGATCTAGGATTTCAGCTGCTCATCAGTTCAGGGTTTCCTTTGTTGTATTTTTCATTTCATAATGCGCCAAATGTTTGCAGTGGTGACAGGTCTGGACTGCAGGCAGGTCAGTTTAGCACCTGGGCTCTTTTAATACGGAGCTGAAATACAGAGTTTAGAGTTTTAACTTGCATTTGTGGATGCAGTGATGAACTGTGTTCACAGACAGTGGTTTTCAGAAGTGTTTCTGAGCCCATGCAGTGATTTCCACTACAGAATCATGTCTGTTTTTAATGCAGTGCTGCCTGAGGGCCCAAAGATCATGGCCAGCAAATACTGGTATTTGGCCTTGTCCCTTACATACAGAGATTTCTCCAGATTCTCTGAATCTCTTAATGATATTAATTACCGTAGATGATGAAAAGCAAAAGTTCTTTGCTATTTTATGTTGAGAAACGTTATTCTTGAATTGTTGCACTATTTGATGGTGCAGTCTTTCACAGAGTGGTGAACCCCTCCTCATCTTTACTTCTGAAAGACTCCGCCTCTCTGAGATGCTCATTTATACCCAATCATGTTCCTGACTTGTTGTCAATCAACCAGCAGGTTTTTTTTTTAGCACTACACAACTTTACCAGCCTTTTGTTACCCCCGTCCTTTTTGGAACGTGTTGTTGGCATCAAATTCAAAATGGGCAAATACTTTTCAAAAACTATAAAATTTCTCAGTTTCAACATTTAATATGTTGTCTTTGAAGCATTTTCAATGAAATATAGGGTTTAAATGATTTGCACAACATTGAATTTTGTTTTTATTTACATTTTGCACAGCGTCCCAACTTTTTTGGAAATGGGGTTGTATTTTGAATGCAAACCACTTTGGAGAATGGTTACCATTAGCCCAAATAATTGTGTTCAAGTGGTTTTGTAATAACTGTATTGCCTAAATGCAATAAGATTGGTCAAAATACAAACAATAAATTGGCCAATTGACATTTGTGCTTTTTGAGCAAAAATCTGCTGAACCCAAGAGTGCATCTCTAAACTTCACAGCAGGATTTCCCAGTCCTGGTCTTGTACCACCACTGCTCTGTGTAGTTTAGTACAGGAGTATTCAGTTCTGCTCCTGGAGGAACAGTTTGGTGATGTACCTGCACAAACGCACCTGATTCAACTCAACATTTAGTGACCAAGAGGGCTTGTTAATTAGCTGACTGATTGAATGAAGTGTGTTGGGAGCAGAGGTGGTCAATATGGCAAAAACGTCCTTCAAAACGTTTTCATGATACATAATATGTCAGGAAATTTGTTTTTTTTAGGTTTTATAAGTTGTAACAGACAAAAAACAACCAGAAGTGTCACATTTAAATAAAACTATCAAAAAAAAACATATTAAGCAGGACTGATAATGTACATGCAGTAGGTCAGTGTTTTTAAACTACTGACAATATCCTCAGTATGCCCAGAAAAAGCATACTGTGATTTAAATAATCACGATAATGATAAATATCATCATATCGCCCAGCTCCAGCTGTGAGCAGAATAGTTTTTAAATAGGAGGAACATTGCTTTAAGTCTGTAGTGCATTATTTGTATGTGTATTTGAAGATCCTGGGTTACTACAGCATTTCCATGTATTTAATATTATCAAGCTTCTCAGAAAAGGTGCTCTGCCATCAGTCGCCTCTGTCCTACATTCATGTCAATATGACAGATTTACCAGAATTCTTATTTAAATTCCGATCCTTATACTGCTGTACCTCCATCAGCTCTCGATGGGTCATCAGGGGAAAGCGGATCCGCTGGAGAAGTCCTGGAAGACTGCCCAACCTCTGCGCTTTCTCCTCCTCTACCCACGTCACTGCTGCTCTGAACACTGCCACCTACAGAGAGAGCGGAGGAGATGCAGTGAGTATAATTACGCTGTGAAGAGCCCATTTAGACATGAACAGTCAACTAAAGAAAGTCTAGCTGGAGGTGGGTAATAGAAACATCAACAAGATGTGCTTAGTGTTTATAGATAAATGTCATGAAATTGCCGTCATCAGACATTTACAGTGAAATATGACCTTTTAAGAATCTTGCACAGTCAGTAATGGAGAACGTGGACCTAGAAAATATTACTTAGAATAGAACAGAACGTCTTTGTTGTCATTGCAGAGCAGTACAAAGAAATTTAAGGTGCAGTACCTGATGGTGTTAGAAGTGTAAAATGACAAAAATCTATTTTAAAAAGTACATATTAAGACTATTCATGCACGGATATTCATACACCATACATACTAGCATTTCCAAACATTTTCTGTTGCTATACATTCATCATTATTGCACATATTGTATCGACATGACACATACACTTGTGTCTGTTGTGCACTGACCTGCATCACTACTGCTATTGCCATTTGTTGCATCTGGATCATTAAAAGAAATCAAAAATAGAGGCTGGCGATTTGGCAAAAATATAATACTGCGATTCTTCAATTTATACGATACACAATATGTCACAATATTTATTTTTTCAGACATCTGATCAGTTACAACAGAGAAAAAGGAACCAGTAGAGCTACATTTTATAAAATGCTATAAAAAAACTGTGAACATAGTGATTTTTATTCAGTATTTGGCACTGAAACCAGTTAAACTGACTAATTTTGCTCTGTTTATAATGAAACATGCAGTTGTTCAGTGTTAACATACTGATGATACACATGATACATTCAGAAACGATATTGCATTGTATTGTGACATAATTTATCACAATAATGATATCGTCAAACTGCCCAGCCCTACAAAACGATACTTTAAACAACAGTGATAAAAATTGTAAGTATTATTTTCAGAAGTGTAAATTTAGGGGTTAAGGTTTGGGACAGACTCCTCCCAACAGAAAGATCCCTATAAATCATGATTTTGTATTTCGCTGCTGTCGGAAGAAAACCTTGTATCTCCATTTTTGTCGTTTTTCAGTTTTTAACATAATTTGAAAACACATATTACCCTTTACATTGTGTGTAAATTTCACAATAAATGGACCAAAAGAAACGGCCCAAAATGACTTGGAAAAAACTCTGGTTCCATTGACTTACATTAAAAGTTTTCTGTAAAGTTACCGTTTTGGAGATACAAGGTTTTCTTCTAACAACAGCGATAAATTTAGCTCATTATTATCATCTCTGTTAATGCCTCGGGTGTAAATAGATCAGAACATAAACCTTGTGAATATTTAAGATCTAAATACTTAATTATTTTTTTCATTGTTTTTTTTAATCATCTTTTAGGACTCTTGCGCAATCAGTGATGGTTGTGAACCCAAAAAATATTGCAATATTTTAGCAGTTAATCAATGTTTTGCTTTCTATATAGTATTAGAGTGAATAAAGAGTTTTTAATTGTGCAGAAGCCTCTCAAACAGAAAATCCGCCTGTCATGGGTCACTCTGCTTTCTTAGCTGTGCTGTTATATATTGTTGTGTATTGTGTCCGGTGTCCACTGAGAGTAATCTGTTACACTTGATGTTTCCATTTGTAATCTTTACAGTACTGCACACAAGTCTTAGGAACCTAATCAAGTTGTTTAAAACCATATAAGTGAGTTTTAAGCTCTAAAACACTATATAACATTCGAATAAATACAAACAAAAATGAATGCATTAAAATGAACAAAAAGTAATACAAAAGATTAAAGTAGATTAAATAGTTCCAGATTTCACACCAATGTGCCCTTTTATATCCGGATTATAGCTTGGTTAGCACTCATAATAATGGGGGCTAAATGTTCTAACCAAACAGTGTCCAAATCTAATTAACAGAGGGCCGGTGTGGCCACAGGACTACAAGACCGATACTAATTGATCAAACAAGGGGAATCAGGTGTGCTTGAGCTTGATTGGAATGAAAACCTGTAGCCACTTTGCCCCTGAATGAACAACATTGGACACCCAATCAGAAGTTTCTCTGGGTAAATTTGATGCATAAAATCTATGCAATTTTCAGACATCCATGCTATAAAATCTAACATGACTGTTATGACTGACTGGGATTGGATTATGTTTAACATACAATGTAACACAGAAAGACCAAACAACAAAAGGCCCATAAAAATGCGTTACACTTAAGCAATTATATCAGGTCAGTGAGGTCCAGCAGGGGTTGCGTGTGCATTCGGTAACTGTATATCTACAAAGTGTACCAATGTGGTAGGTGTTTCTGATAAAGTGGCCAGTAGAGGTGAGCAGGGCTGGGCAGTATGATGATATTTACCGATATCATGATAAATTACATCAAACCAAGTTTTTCTGAGCCTATGCTGGATATCATTAATGGTTACAACACTTTCCAACTGCATGTTTGATTGCAAAGAGAGCATAATTAGTTCTATTTAATTGGATTTAATGCAGTGCAGTGTTTGAAATGTTCAATATAAATCATTCTATTTATAGTTTTTGACAGTATTTTTTACATTTAGCACTACTTCTACTGTTCCAAATTATCAGGTCAGAAAACATAAATGTTATGACATATATAAATGACATATGTATTGTGTAATCATCCAGTTCTAGAAGTGGCCAATATGACATTATATTATCGTTATCATCATAGATTTTATTATTGTGATACACAATATGCTTTTCTGGGCATATCGGAGGTCCTTAATGAACGCTGACTAACTGCACGTTTCATTTAAAGGAGAACATAATTAGTCCTGTTTGTTGGATTTAGTGCAGTGCACTCTTAAAAAGGGTCGTTCTTCAAAGGTTCCTTAGTAAAGAAAATGGTTCTATATAAAACCATGAACACTGAAAGAACCCTTTGCCTGATTAAAGTGTTTTTGGCATCATCAAATGGCTCTTGAGATTAATGGAGAATGTTTTGAAATTGAGTCGTTTTGAAAATGGTTCTATATAGCACCCACAATATCAAACTTCTAACAATAAAAGAACCCCTTTGGGTGCTACATAGAACCCTTTTCAAAAAGATAATGTAAAAAACCATCTACAGAAAATTTTCCACCAATCTGAAGAACTACTTTATGACGCAAAGAATCCTTTAATCATGCAAAGCTTCTTTAAGTGTTCATGGTTCTATATAGAACCGTTTTCTTTACTAAAGACCCCCTGAAGAACCATCTTTTTTAAGAGTGTACAGTATGTGTAAATTAGAGCCCAGGGTTTGTGGTGGCCGTTTTTTAATGTGGCACGAGTAGTGAATTGTGTCTGCGTATTAAAATATTATGATACATATCGTGTGTTGCGAAAATTTCTTTAAGTATCATGAGATGAGTGGTTGTTATAGTGTAGTGGGTATCACCTTTGCCCTCTGTGCGGTAGACTAGGGTTTGACCCCCTGCCTGGGCAAGCGCCCTACGCTATACCAATAAAGAGTCCTTGGGCTAGACTCCAAACACTTCGCCCACCATTGTAAACTGGAAGTCGCTCTGGATAAAGGTGTCTGCCAAATGCTGTAAATATAAATGATATGATATTTTTGCCTTATCGCCCAACCCTGTACTTAATAAACTGGCAACTCAGAAGTTTAGGTTTCTGGCCTCACCTCACTGTCTGCGCTCAGTGCATCTCTCTCCAGCAGACGTTCCAGCAGGGAGCAGGAGAGATCCTTGAACCTCTCCCCCTCTGAGACCCTCTGAAAGTGGGCTAGAGCGTAGTCCTCTGCTGCCCTGCCCAGCTGTTCCAGGCCGTAAGTCTCAGCGAGAGACAACGCGTCCAAACATGAACCGTCATCCATGTAATCCTGTAGGAAGTTTAGGCAGAGCGTGAGCGCCCCCTGCAGCTGAAACTGCATGGCTGCTTCCGTGAGGTCCCACACATTTTGCCAGCCCAGCTTTAGCTGTCCGGAGTAGATGAAGTCGAGCAGTGATCGCAGCACGCTGGCTTCAACGCCTCGCAGACGCACCACCTCCTCTTCAGACTCACGTAACCCTCCGCAGAAGAGGGCCCGAAAGTAGTCCCCTCCAGCAGCGAGGATGACGCGATGGGCTAAGACGGGGGGGTCAGAAACAGTGTTTAGCATATGTGCCTTCAGATTGCAATGATTCAATCTAAAAAAAAAAACTCCACGGGGTGTTGCACTGGTACGAGTGGATCAGACACAGCAGTGCTGCTGGAGTTTTTAAACACTGTGTCCACTCACTGTCCACTCTATTAGACACTCCTACCTTGTAAGTCCACCTTGTAGATGTAGAGTCAGAGACGATAGCTCATCTGCTGCTGCACAGTTTGTGCTGGTCATCCTCTAGTCCTTCATCAGTGGTCACAGGACGCTGCCCACAGGACGCTGTTGGCTGGATATTTTGGTTGGTGGACTATTCTCAGTCCAGCAGTGACACTGAGGTGTTTAAAAACTCCGGCAGCACTGCTGTGTCTGATCCACTCAGACCAGCGCAACACACACTAACACACCACCACCACATCAGTGTTACTGCAGTGCTGAGAATGATCCACCACCCAAATAGTACCTGCTCTGTGAGGGTCCATGGGGGTCCTGACCACTGAAGAACAGGGTAAAAGGGGGCTAACAAAGTATCAGAGAAACAGATGGACTACAGTCTGTAACTGTAGAACTACAAAGTGCACCTATATAGTAAGTGGAGCTGATAAAATGGACAATGAGTGTAGAAACAAGGAGGTGGTCATAATGTTATGCCTGATCAGTGTATTTATCAGCTGAACTACAGTTAGTGTTTTTGGTGATATGACAGGTGTGAAAGAATTGTGTGTAGAATTGAGGTGTAACCACTGTCCCATAGTAGTAGTTGTGAAACGAGCTAATATTAATACAAAAATGAAATACTTTCGGATTGTGTTGTGGGCTTGATCTGGCCGGCAGACCTTGTGGGCATTAGGGGATCCATCAGCTGTGAAAACGGCACACAGTTTCAAGTTGCAGCGTGTCACTAAAGTGTACTCATGTATGAGCCTCTTAAACCTTCTTTCTTTTTCATCACCAGCCAGTGAAATATGTCTGAGCGACAGCTGTCGTGCTCCACACCTGCAAAAACTGATGTCCACGCTTGATGATGGTGATTTTGACAACAATAAAGAAGCTGCGTGTCTGTGTGAGGACGACGAGACGATGGGAAAAGGACGGCCGACTACACCTTTCTCGCCGGGAACATGATCAGAAGTGTTAGACCTTGTAGAATGCAAAAGCATATAAAACGACATTTCAGAGTCGGACAGTGCGAGCAATGTTGCAATGAAGTGTCCGGCGTGAGAGATCTGGACACACACGTTATTATCTGAGCTTATACTCCTGGGTCGCAGGGAGAGCTGGAGCCTATCCCAGCGGTCATTGGGCAGAAGGCAGGAAACACCCTGGACAGGTCGCCAGTCCATCACAGACACACAGACATACACAGTCACACACACAAATTCACAGCGAGGGGCAATTTAGCGTGTCCAATTGGTCTGACTGCACGTCTTAGGACTGTGGGGGGAAACCCAGACAGACACTGGGGAGAACATGCAGACTCCACAGACAGGACTCTGGTCACCCGGCCGGGCTGTGAGGTGACAGCAAGCAAGCAAGCAAGCAAAGTTTATTTATATAACGCTTTTTACAACAGGTGTTGTCACAAAGCAGCTTTACAAGGAAATCAGCATTACAGAAAGAAATCCGGGTCCAAGCCCCCACGAGCGTCGCCAGAGGCGACAGTGGCAAGGAAAAACTCCCTAAGAGAAACAGGAAGAAACCTTGAGAGGAACCAAGACTCAGAAGGGGAACCCATCCTCCTCTGGTCGACACCAGATAGTAAACATTGTTAGTACAAAAACAGGGAAAACAGGTGGAGCAAATGATTAATTTGATTAGTTTAGTTCATGCAGCAGCAGCGGCGGCAGCAGCAGCATCAGTGGGGTCAGGATGTGAGGGTGAGGTTTGCACGGCGTAGTACAGCATGAAGCCTGATGGTGGTCAAGCCGGTCCAGAGGGCTGGCGAGCAGTGGCACCCGATCAAGGCATAAGAGGCAGCAGCATCAGACGCACAGGATGGGCAGCTGTTCAACCCGGCAAAGGAAACGAAAGAAAGGAAAAACACACAGAATGTGAAGTTTTAGTTCATTTGTTGTGTTATGCCTTAATGAGGCATTCCTTTAGTTTTATTTTTCATTTACATTTAATGTGACTGTATGTATTGAGGTAATTCACTTTGAATAATCATATTACCAAAGCTCTTTTATACACATGCACTAAAAATACAGATATTTTTTAACCATTTTAACATACCTCCATAGACAGTTTTGTAAAAAATAGTATTAAATTGTTGTATGATAAACATGGAAATGGAACTACTGAGATAAAAAATAGTGCAAATATGAATTATTCTAATATTCCATGTAAGATCATTTCAATACAGTCAATATTTCTTTACAAGAACACCACTCTTAGGACTGAGGAGGGTACGTTTCATGTTTTCATGCCAAGTAAGCAGCTTTACCTGAACCTGTACGTTGCCTCTACTTCCTCTGCCTCTCCTGCACTCTGATTGGCTGACCTAGCCAGGCTCGCAAAATGACCAAATGAGCAATGAAAGATTTAAATATTGATGAAGATCCAATTTCTGTATTTACTAGTTTTTCAAGTGTTCTGATCATTCATGACATTAACATTAGTCACTGGTGCCACTACACGTCACTGGTGTTGTATGAATATGGTGTAACACCAGTGACGGTGACTCCAGTGACATTCTGGGTAAAATTGAGGATATTGTAAACTGGCTGACTCATTGGTCATCAGGTGACCTTGTGTATTTAAAATCAGTAATAAAAATTATAATATGGCATTATTTTTGGCAAAAATTTTAATCACCCAGCTATTAAAGCACAAAATAGTCGTTTCGGATCTCTTACAATCGCATCTTTCGCAGATCTATTCAAATGCACCCAAGAGGTAAACAAGCGCAATCAGATTCAAGTGTTTCATCATTTATATGGAAAAAGATAGAAAACTACGACAAACAAATAAAAGCAGTACATACACAAATTGGAGGTAATTTTTGGTGAATGCTGCCAAAATGTAACCACAGGTCTTAATGTTCACCACCTTCTGCATTATTGACTCAACGGTCCCATTTACTCCATTATAATCCAAATAAATCCAACCTTATATAAGGGTCATTCTACAGAAACGTCCACTTTCCTATCTCCCCATAGGAGTCACTGGTGTTACTGATCCTCATTGGTGTTACACATAATAAAGGGAACACCAGAGACATTTTAATGAACAATGCATTTTACAGAATGGCTGCTACAGAGCATCAAACCACATGTTGTCAATCATGGAATATCCACTAAAATATGGAATTTAATCCATTTGTATTCTATTTTGTCACAATTGCGTAAGAATAAAGTCGGTCACACCAGTGACTTCAGCTAAAAGCTTCATATGGAATCATGAGCTAAATGAGAAAATCTCTGATAACTGAAAGACACAGTGGACTCACCATGAGCTTTTCTTCATAGATCCTCAGAAAACAGGTAAAAGGAAGTCGAGTGATGTCATCAGTGTGATTTTTATTTCAAAATAAGAGATTTTTTGTTACGCGGTAACACCAGCGACACGACTCCTGGGGACAACAGCTTTCATTATATATAATATTTATTTGGCATTTGTTTTCTTTATGTCATTTGATTTATATATTCCATAGTCATGTAGGGATTATTACAGTTAAAACTGCAGAAAAATATGGTTTTTTTTCTCTTCAAAATGTCGCCTCACACTTCTGTGGTGCTTGGAACTCTATATAATTGATTTAAAAACCAGTACTGCTAAATTGAGGCTCAAGAAGGTGTAATTATTAAAATAACTTTTATTATTATTTATTTATTATTTTATTTTAAAATATAAATAAGTTGTAACCCTAACGTTTTTTTTTTTTTTAAGTGTAATATATCTGTAAACCCTAGGGACACAAAAATGGACGTTTCTGTAGAATGACCGAAAACTGTAATCACCATCTTGTTACCTACAACGCAGCACCGTTTAGAAGCAGCTGACAAGCTCACAGCAAGTGCGGCTGGGCTTGAGTTCAGCCTCTGCACTGCGGGGTTAGTTCAGCATTACAGCTCAGATACCTTTAGTAAACAAAGACTAATAAAGTACATTTTGTCTTTTTGTTCCGGATTGAAAAAGATGAAAAAGTGAAAACATCTGAAAACAGAGATTTTCTTCGGCTGTATTAGTCTCTCTCAGATGTCAGTATTTTGGTTTTAATAAGTATAATTAAGTACATTAATGGAATTGACATTATCGGTCTGTAAAGCTGTAGTTATTCAGAAACAATATTCAATATTTTACTGATGTGTGATGTTTTTATTTGGACAAAAACTGTCCTTTTTTGACACACAGTCTCACGTCAGTGTGTCTGTCTTATAGATGATAATAGATCATGCAGTACAGTTAGAAAATACTTCTAATTTCTTACATCATAGAATTATACTGAATTACCTCTGTTTGCACTGATGCATTAGACTTTTCTCTCAGGTGTTAAACTGACCCTCTGTCTGTTACACTGAACCCACCCATGGGCTGAACTGGAACACTGCACTTCCCCTCATTTTGGGTGGACTTGTACTGAAAGGTAGGAAACACAGGTCAAGTGTTTGTTTGTAGCAGAGATGTTTATGTCGCTCATATAAAAATATGATTATTCCAACTAAAAACTAAAATGTGTTTGGTGTTGTGCCCTCTGTGCTCGACCTTTCAGAGGGAGTTAACGTGAAAGTGTTAAGCATACTGGTGGGAGGGGGGATGGGGGTGGGGTAGTGGGGTTTGCGTGTTTTTCGGACAGGTTTTGTTCATAACGAAGCTTTTAGCGATTCTTATGCACACAACCCTTTTAACGTCCATCATTAGGACGTGGAATCTTTAAACCTGACGGTGGATGGGGTGTCGAACCCCTCTGCGCCCTTCCGCCCCCTTTGCGTTAGACAACAGCGTCTGAGAAAATATTCAGCACAGTCGTTGACCAACAAATGACCCCTCAATCCTCTCTCCGCAGCCCTGATGAGGCTGAAATGTTCTCTCGGAGAGCGTCGTCTGGTGAAAAGGGGGTGGACGGGTGTAGAGTTGTGTGACGTGGACTGTCCTTCTCCAGGCGTCAGAGTGCAGAGCGCAGAGTCGAGAGGCCCCCGACACACATGCTCTTGTCAATCAAACTGCACAACATACGTTACATCATACCATCACATCATGATATATTGGTCAAACGTCACAATATACAACACATACTGCAACATCATGACATTCCACTCATACCTATCATGGTATTACATCATGGGTTTGTCCTACTCCAGTGGTCACACATGCTCCCTGTCAATCAAACTGCAGAGTGCTCACACTGCACAGCACAACATGGGAACATTTAAAAACAGAAAACAGTCTCCACACGATGGAGACAGGACCAAGTCCGGGTACTGTAAAAATAACTTTACCACAAATCAGCCTATGGTTCCGCACAACCTGACGCATTTTATTGCTCTCCTTAACGATGTAAGATCTTTTCATTCTTTACATTTTTTACAACTACAACTTAACATTTTTCCACCCACACTTGGAAATTTGCTCACACTTTTTTGCATGTATTCTCTTTATTTATTTTAGTTCAGTTTCATTTTTACATTTCCTTTCTTATTTTACCCAGACTTGATTAATTACTTCATTTTATGTGTTCATTTTGATTTGACAGTTTTACAAGTTGAATTCAATTCAATTTTATTTTGTATTTTTTCACTAATTTGACGTTCTGACGTTTTATCCTTTAATTTCTCTGCTTATTAATCTGTTTAGTCTCTTGTTCTTTGTCCTGATGCGTCTGATGCTCAACGTGCTCTGTTTAAATAAACGTTTATTCTGATAGCGTAATTAAAAAAATAACCTACACTGGTGAGCTTTAAGTAAAACAATAAATATTCGAGACAAAAATGACATGTTCTTGTGCTAAATAGTACTAAAACTGATACGTACATCCACCCACTGAGGGCGGAGACTTCTTTTTCATTTTTATCTCCCCTTCCTCACACTTTCCCCTCCACACATCCTGGGAATATTTTGACATTAGTTCACATACTATGTCATGGGAAAATTCTTTACATAATTCCCATGTGATGCCATCAATCAGATACTGGGTTCTAATAATACCGGCAGTTTTTAGCATTATACAACTTTACCAGTCTTTTTTTGCCCTGTCCCAACTTTTTTGAAGTCTTTAAACTATTTTCACTTAAATACGTCAATTAAATGATTTGCACATTATTGTATTCTGTTTTTATTTGCCTTTTTTTTACAGGTTCCCAACAAGGTTGCACTATTAGATGCCATATCAATAAGCTTGCGGGTAAACTGAGGCAAAAACTTGTGTCCTGTATTGACACAAAATGTGTGTCTCTATACTCACCAGGAAAAAGAGTATTAAACCAATTGTTATCTATTCTTAATTACAGTGATGTGATTTACAGATATGCATCTGTTAAAACCCTTTAGATTCAGACTATCTGCTTTTCACCACTGGGGTCAAGTTGCAAGTAACAAGTAAGTCTCAAGTCTTCACACTTAAGTCCCGAGTCAAGTCCCAAATCAAGATAGTCGAATCTTGATTCAAGTCCTGAAGTCCAAGCTAGTTGAGTCTCGATGCAAGTCCTAAAGTACAAGATAGTCGAGTCTCGATTCAAGTCCTGAAGTCCAAGATAGTCGAGTCTCGATTCAAGTCTGGAAGTCCAAGATAGTCGAGTCTCGATTCAAGGAAAGGTAAGTCTCGAATTCCCAAGTAAATAGTCCTAATCTTCGAGTCCTAAACAAGTCAGCATGCATTCCTCAGCTCATTTAAGGCCATAAGATAAGAGTACTGTAGCCTTTTAATGACAGCATGTTAGCAGAGTATGGCTGTATATTAATTTAGTATTATTATTTTTACCCTTTCAACTAAAATACAAAATCCATGATACACAGATAACCACACTCTTAAAAAGGGTGGCTCTTCGAGGGTTCTTTAGCAAAAAAAATGGTTCTATATAGAACCATCAACACTCAAAGAACCCTTTGCATGATTAAAGTGTTCTTTGCATCGTGAAATGGTTCTTCAGATTGGAGGAAAATGTGCACGAATGTACTGTATAATGCTTATATATATAACCTTTTTGAAAAGGGTTCTATAAAACACCTAAAAGGGTTCTTCTATCGTTACAAGCTTCACACTGTAACACACTACACACCAATAAAACACTAAACCGCTTATCCTTCTGGGTTGCTGGGGTTGCTGGAGCCTATCCCAGGGGTCACTGGGACATGTCGCCAGTCCATCGCAGGGCAGACAGACATGCTATATTGAACCACATTCTAAAACGTTCTATATAGAACCATCTACAGCACATTCTCTGTCAGTTTGAAGAACCCATTTCACGATGTAAAGAACCCTTTAAATATGCAGATGATTCTTTAATTCTATATAGTGTTCAAGGTTCTATATAGATACTGAAGAACCCTTGAAGAACCATCTTTTTTAGAGTGTCCTAAGTCATAATTATGAGAAACTTTCTTATTATTCTTTTAAATTTATTTTTTAAAGTTTCCCAAGTGGCAAACAGGCTTCATAGTTAACCAGGTTCTCGAGCACCTGTGCACACATTATATACTCATGATTCCACATAGAACCATTTTCTTTACTGAAGAGCCCTTGAAGCACTGTCTTTTTTAAGAGTGCGAGTGATACAGAGAAGATGGAAAGTGGTCGTGTAAAATTATTTTTTTTGTAGTTTTTTTTGCATAAACCCACACAAACGTGGCCTTCACCAGTGAAGGAAGCATCATAAGTAGACTACAGGGATAAAAAACATAAAATACAACAAAAATGTAGAATATGGGCCCTTCTTTTCATTTCATCAGGCTGAACGGTTCATTTTTTACAGTGACGCACTGCTACGCTGTATAATATGATGCCTTGTGCAAGAGATCCACTCATAGCCAAGTGTCCCTGAGTCTTACAGACATTAGGCCTTGTTTTCCTTATCAGTGACACTTCTCGAGAAGTTCAAGAACATCCTCACTTAATTTATTTTGTGTCTGACTGCATGAGAGTTCTCACTGTTCTAGGAACTGAAATACAATTCTTCACTAAAATTAAAATCATATGAACACACGTCCTTTTCTAAACACATTAAAAAAGATACGAGTCCTGCGGAAGATCTCAAGAATCTCACAAGCTTGTTAAGAAGCTGAAAATCAAACAGCCTAATCAAACAGAAATATTTTATTGCAAGAGGTTCACGAGCCTCTGACTTGCTAAAAACGACATCTGTTTGCTAAATCATTCTTTTGACACTGAAGACGGCCAGAGAAAGAGCAACAAAGGTTAGTGCCAGTAAGTCAGAGGGTTATGTGAAGGGAAATGTTATAAACTGGCACAAGTAGTTTTCCCCAACCCTGAATGTATTCAGTCAGTCAAGACATGCTTGCTGAAATCTGCTTCTTTGTTTATGCCAGGGGTCGCAATCCAAATGTTAAGAGGAGCCATTTTGCCCTTTTTAGCAAAATCAAACCACCTTGGGAACCACATTTATGTCCATTTTACCCTCTTGGCTGTAAATATGTCTCGGCATGTGCTGATGGACTAGTATTGACTATACTAGTTTTATTCTGCTGATTTCTTTTTTTAAGCTGTTGCCTTAGTTAAGGCCTTGTATGTGAGGTTATGTGTGCTTGTGCGAATGTATTGACCTGTTAAGAAGATTTTACTCTATTTTAATCCACTCTTTCACTTATGTTTTGATTAATTAATTAATTCATTCATTCATTCATTCATTCATTTTTAAGTTCAGGGGTATATCACATCACACAAATTATGAAAAGGTGTTTTTTTAATACATTTCTATATTTTTATCTTAGTTATACTGTGGTAAATTACCCAACACAATCTTAAAGGCACAGTAACAAAAATAAAAACTCTCTGGGGTCCACAAACCTTTCTGCATGTCTTAATCGATGTTTCTATATGTGTTTCTCTCACTTTGTGATGATCCAGCACAGAAATACTTCTTTAAACACTTCCTGAATCTGAGTCGCCCTTTCCATTCCATCTTATCACAAGGATAGATAAAGATGGGATAAAGAGGTTACATAAACATGAAGAAGTTGAGCTCACCAGGGAAGCGCTCTCCACTCTCTGCCTCTATGATGACATCACAGCCCACATGCCTCTCCCACAGCTTCCTGATCACCTGGAGGCTCCTCCCTCTTTCTGCACTCCCGCTGGGCAGAGCTTCACCCCTACACACCTCCGCCAGCCGTTCTGCCTCTAAACACCTGCAAGCCATGAATATCTCCTCCAAATCTATGCTTTCAGTGCAGGTCACATCCGTTTCTCCGTAGTAAGCAAAGTTCAACACAGCCTTTAGTCCTATTGGAGTTATAGAACATTCTGATTCTTCAACACTGAATAAGTTCACCTGCGTTACCACCATCTGTCCCGAAAGTAGCCACGCCTCTGCCTTCCGACTGACAGCTGCAAGCACCAATCGGTGAGCCTTGACTGAACAACTAGGAAGTTGTAAGCTGCAGTCCAGCAGTAGCTCCTCCTCTTTTAAGCCACGTAAAGAAGTGAAGAGGGAGTCACAGTGGGAGGGGAGGGGAAAGGGGCGGAGCTTGTTGTCATGGCAGCTGTCTGGAGGCAGAGCAAACCCAGTTGGAACATGAGCACTGCTAAAGCCTGAGGGGGAGCAGGCTTTACCATCTTTGATTTCTGTTTGGACAGGACGAGACGAAGAGACTGGGCTGTTTGTCTCTGTCCTCTCCTTCCTCGTCCCACCTGCACCACGTCCTCCATCTCTTCTTTCATTGGTAGGGGTGGTGGACTGAAACAGCGCCACCCGCTGACGGAGGGATAACTGTTTCTCTTGCTGCTTCTCGTGGGTTTGTCGCTGAGACATTGCTCTGAGGAGAGGACAAAACCAAGTAACATAATATAGACGCTGTATTATCAACACTGAAGCAGTGACTTGATTTAAACATGTACAGCCATGTGCAAAAGCTAGAACACTCCCTGTTAAATTACATGTTTTGTTGATTTTCTAAGTAACATTCTCTACACTGTTAGAAATGAAGGTGCTGTTCAGGTACATTTTTCGTTCATCAAGGTACAAACAATGTAAACATTCCCTCAAAGCTACAACAGTGGTTTTAAGGTCTGATTGTGAACCTTAAATACGTTTTTCCAGGTGAAAAGTTCGTATTTGTACCTTTTCATAACCGAATGTTTTAAAACAGAACAGTAAAATAAAAGCCTGGAGACGAGACGGGGTGTGTGGAGTCAGTACAGCTTAGAGAATATCATTTCAGTGGATTATGATTCAGTTATGTTCCCTGACTACTGAGATGAACACTTGAGGGTCCCACCCCAGTGACAAGAGGGGCACTGCCCCAGTAATAGATTAGTACAAGGAACAATTTTAATGCACAACATTTAAGAAATTAAAAAAGAAATGGAAGCATAAACTATAAAATGTGCCTGAATTTTTACATAGGCCACATTTTGGCTTTTATTTTATACTTTTGCATATGACTGTAAATTCAAGGGGTTTTATTTTGTTATTTAAAAATCCTAAAATGTGCATTTTAACCTATTTAAAGCCTTGTATATTGTTGCTTTCAGAAAAAAAAACTTCCCTTACAATTTTTTCACATGATTTGAAAACACCAACTGACCTTAACGCTGTGTAAACATTTCATGATGAACAGACCAACAGAAATGATTCGAAATTACATGAAATAAAACCTTATTACACTAACTTACATTAGAAGTTGAAAACGATTTTCCTTTTCCTGTAAAGTTACCATTTCGAAGATACAAGGTTTTATACCGACAGTGTCCATATATAGTGGAGCGGGAAACAAAAGCATGCAGGAGACTGCACGCAATATCACTCTTGCTTAATAGGATCTGCACCTAAAGATGCACTTCAGCAGCAAATACATGAGGTCATTTAAATTTTCAGTGGACATGAGTGTGAGGCTTATATGCAGTGCAGTGTAAAGTGGACGATGTCTTAAAAGAAAGACTTCACAGATGTTATAAGAGATGAAAAAAGTGATCGTCACAATAAAACAGGAGATTCCCCCCTTGATGCTCCTAGAACAGCTTATTTCAGCGTACACAGATCGGGAGAAAGTGCAACTGCTAATGGGATAGCATGGATCTAACAGAACGTAAAATAAAGGATGGACGATTCCAGTCGACTCATGAAAGCTTTAGTTTTGTTTATTTTGTGAAAGTATGGTTAAATTTCTATATCCTTTCATAGGAATGTTTAATGCAGAAACCTTGTAATGCTTTTTAAAAGCAGCCTTGCACTGTTCGACTAGCCCAGGTGTCGCAACCCAAATGTAGAGAAGAGCCATTTTGTCCTTTCCACAAAAATCAAACCACTACAATTTATGTCCATTTCACCATCTTGGCTGTAAATCTGTCTCAGTATGTGCTGATGTACTAGAATAGGATAAAAATACAATATAAGCGTAAACGCAAACTTACTTTGCTCTGCTTTAAGCTTTAGCTCAGCCATAGCCGCTTTTCTCACATCTCTGGCAGGAAACTTTTCCTCAAAAGTAGAACAGTTTCTTGAAAAATGTCTCTCAACGTCCAAGTTTTTATAAGGCTGAAGTCGCTTCTTATTCTCCAGCCTACTGTTCAAGTTTTCCCGTTCCACCTTAAATGGTGCCTGAGGTGCCAGAATGTAACTGCTTCACCATTTAAGGTGGAACAGGAGAATTTGAACAAGGAGCTGGCGAATAAGAAGCGACTTCAGCTTTGTGACTTTGTAGTGTTTGTCAGTTTCTCGTTTCAGATTAAACGTATCAGGAAACCAGCTGGAGTGATTATAAACACTAAGTCCATTCATCTCCAAATTATCAATGTTCGTCTTAAATCTCTCTCTTTGCCGTTTCGTTGGCTACTAGCTGGGCGAGACTGTTGTCTGTGTTGCTATGGTGACCAGCAGTCTGCGCTGATCTTCAGGGTTAAAGGGTGAATCAGCAGTTCTACATTAACTCCAGAGTTTAAGACCATTTATTGTTAAACTGTGTTGAACGATCAGCAGAGCTTTATTTTACTGTAAAGGAGGATTATTTTATTTTTACCCACAAATCTGATTCTGCTGTGGAGCCACAACAGGGCAGTAAAAGAGCCGCATGTTGCCGACCCCTGAACTAGCCTGATTATGAACGTTACTGAACCAGCCTGTTAGCCTGTTAGCTACAGACTGAGGGCAGAATAAGAGAATACAGTGTAAACTGGACTAAGAGAGTCTGCAACAGCAGCTAATGATGTTTAGCTGGCAGTTCTTCATTTGGTTTCATTTAGTAGATCAGGATTTCACAATAACAGGCTTTTTCACACAGTTCTGAAGGAACATTTTGGGCAGCGTCCACCAGGGATGCGGGAAGTGGGGGTGCTGAGGGGGCTGCAGCAGCCCCGATTTCAGGATTGTAAATGTTAAAAATAATACTAACAATAAAAGCATTTCGAACCTTTTAATAATCTGAGCGTAGTATAGACCCTCTATGCTTGTTATAAAGCATCATGCACTGTTTAAGTGAACGCCATATTTTCATTACAGTGAGCCGAAAACTGTTGGTCGCTTTGCGGCCGTGTCCTCAAACACGTAGGTTGAGGTTCAAAGACAGCAAGTCTATGAAGAGTTATAGTCCAGTTCTGAGTCCACAAGCAGCCTAATGTTGCTTTTTTACTTAAAATATTATTAGGTCATTCTCCATTTGTCAAGGTCGCAGGGCTTAAATAGATGCTTAAAATACCAGGCTCAGCTCTAAAAGTCAGTATGTACATTTACACAGTTGATCTAAGATTAAATAACACTTTTCTCTTATGATTCTCTGATTTTTCTTTATTTATCCTGTTTCATAGTCGCTCTGCATCTGTAAAACAGCTCGTCACAAAAACATTTTTCAAACGATTTTTAACATAAAACAATATTTTTAAGAGGTTTAACTTAGGAATCTGTATAAAGCAGATTCATGTTTACTTTTTATATCATCAACGTTGTACTACAGTTAAAAATATGTATTTTATTTAGATATGGTCACTGGTGTTTTCAGGACTCTTATTTTACATTTTAACACAGTATTTTCAGCTCTATTAAACTGTTTCTATTTATTAATAATTCTGTTTATTAGGCAGCTCAGAACTTCTATGTGTCACCGGTGTTTTGTGCTTTAATGGCTGGGTGATTAAAATTTTGACAAAATAATGCCAAATATAATTATTACTGATTTTAAATACACAAGGTCACCTGATCAACCAACGAGTCAGTCAGTTTACAGAATCCTCAGTTTTAACCAGAATGTCACTGGAGTCACCGTCACTGGTGTTACACCATATTCATACAACACCAGTGACTGTAAAATATGTTTGAATGAAGCTCTCCTTTCAGCATATATGATAATAGGAAATGTTAATGGACACATTAGAATTATTTAGTTTTGGGATGAAAAAAAAATGATTTTGATACCGCACCACATATCAACAGTCTGATTGGTCGACGCTCAGCTCATTTGCATAAAGTTCGTCCAGAAGGAGAGAGTAGTGGTCTGATGCGCAAGTTAGATGCTTATATTTTCATCTCTTGCCTCAGTATAGCACCGTATCACAGGTTCTAATGTAAAGTTTGGACACACCTCATGAATTGTTTTTCTTTATTTTTATTATTTTCTACATTGTGGATTAATATTGAAGACATCAGCTATGGAGGAACACTTATGGAATTATGTAGTAAACAAAAAAGTGTTAAACAAACCAGAATATTTTTACATATGTTTTTTTTTTAATTATTCAAAGTAGCCACCTTTTGCTTTGATGACAGCTTTGCACACTCTTGGCGTTCTTTCAATTAGCTTAATGAGATAATCATCTGGAATGGTTTGAATTAACAGGTGTTAATTACTTTAATTAACAGGTGTGCCTTGTCAAACCTTTGTGAAATTGCTTGCCTTCTTAATGTGCATGTAGGGTTTGGTACACAGGTCTATAGTTCAGTATAGAACTGTGTTCCTTTATAGTTTAATCTAAAATGTAAAAAATAATAAAAATAAAGAAAAAACATTTAATGAGGTGTCCAAACTTTTGATTGATTCTGTGAATAAAGCAAAAAAAGTGGGGCAAATCACTGTGCATGATGTCATCGGTCACGTCACATAAACGCTACTTACATTTTCAGCACCACCAACTTAAAAAACCTCCCCACTTCCCCGGCGTCCACTACAGAAAACAACCCTCGCAGAAAGGTCACGTCAATGAACTGTGTGAACAGTGTGTGAACAATGAACTGTGATTTGTTTGCACAGTTAAAGGCGTGTAGTCAAAGTGTGTGATCACAGCTGAAAACATGTTCGAAATGCAACATGCTCACATTTGATTACTTGTAAACATCAGTGGTTTTTACACACTTCACAAATGAAACATTTGTGACTTTTCCATAAGGGATAAAGACCCACAGCGTGACGGAAGCTCAGAAAAAATGAGGTCAAAGGCACATTTTGCTGTCCTATTTATAAATAATTGCATGAATTTTAATATTAAGACCCTTATGCAGGGTTTTAAATCATTACTCCATCTGACAGAATGCCATTACACCTAATAGGGAACAGCTGGCACTGGAGGACAAAGTAGAGAAGTCAGACTAGTCAGCAGGACTGTTGTGACCTAGCATGCACTGCGCTGCAGTAAAGGTGACCCCATGGAAAAACAGAAGGCTGCAGTCATAGCATTGTGCTTGATAGTGCAAGGCTTTTTAGGGCTCGTATTAACATGTAACAAATTAGGTCTGGGCAATATGACAATATATATCGTTATTGTGATAAATTATGTCACAATATGCTTTTCTGAACATATCATGTATATCATCAGTACTTCTAAAACACTGACCAACTGCGTGTTTTATTACAAAGAGAACAAAATTAGCCCCGTTTAACTGTATTAAGTGCCAAATACCAAATAAAAATCACTGTGTTCACAGTTTTTGATAGTATTTTTTCAAATGTAGCACTACTGGCTCTTTTTTCTCTTATCAGATGTGTGAAAAATTGAATATCGTGGCATATCAAGTATCGTGAAAGTATTGTGATATTATATTTCTGCCATATTGCCCACGTCTGTAACAAATATCTGTGCAGAATTTGCATACAACCATGTTCCAGCATTTGAGACTTACCACCGGTCAGTCAAAACCTAATCTTAATCCGAAGAAAACACTTCAACAGCCCTCAAAAGCAAAAGCAAAAGCATTACAGTCCTGCTTAGCCTTTGTTCATCTCTCCACAGTGCTTGATGACCTGTCACACGTTTTCATTTTACACAGGACAAAGCGACACTAATAATAGACATGGCACTCACGAGGTGTATCTTTCCATCTGACAGCAGTGACACCGCACATTCAAGCTTTTCCTCTGCCAGACAATGACCACAGTGTCTCACAGGGACGGGCGGACTCAGAGATTCTGGGGTTCCTGGGCAAAAGACAGGAACGGATGTACATTACAAGTTAGTGTAACTACTGAAGACACTGGGCCTCATTCTCCAAAAAACACAGACTCGACAGAATCGAAGATACGACTCCAAGCATTTCGACTCTTTGGCCCAATCCCATTTCACCCCTCACCCCTACCACTTAGCCCTTAGCCCTCTGCTGAATTAGGGGTGGGTGATAATAAATAATTGCCCCCCTCTTTGAAGATCATATGATGCCCTAAATGTAACTAAAGCCCAGCAGTGAGGAGCTGAACTTTACCCTCCTCTGCTGTCACTGTAGACTGGCAGGGTCGCCTACAGAGCAGCGCTAGTAGCTGTTAATGAAGTAATGTTTTTATTTTTTAATTTGAGGGTTGTCCCATTTCGTAGGGCAAGACTTCAACCACTATCCTTTGTAACTCCGTTCCAAGGGGTTAGGGTGACACTCGAAAACAAGGGGTAGGGGTAAAAAAAGAAGAAATGGGATTGGGCCTTAGTGTCGCCAAGAATCGAACTGCCAGACGCGCTGGAGGCGAAGAATCAATTCGGTTCTTTTGTAAATGACTCCCCACCACTACGTCAAACCGTCACTCGAGCAGATTACGATTAAAAATAGAGTCGACAGAATCAAAGAGTCGCCTCCATGCATTTCGAGTCTCAGCGTCATTGGCCAAAAGCCGACCCCGATTGCTTGTCGCGTTGGAGTCAAAGAATCGACTCTTTTGGAACCGACTCCCCATCACTAATGATTCAGCAAATGAGTAGTTTGGACGTTGCAAACATGTAATTTACTGATAATCACCAGGAATGACCAAGTTTAAGCGTCTCCAGCCGAAATGAAGAATTAAACCACCACTATTGCTCAGATGTTAAATCAGCTGTTTGCTATCTTGAAGGCTGGACGAACGTCGTAATGTTTAAACGTGTATTTTTAAGCGTAGATGACTAGTTAATGCCATTAGACAGACAGCTCAACTTAGCTAGCTAATGTTACTGCTAGGAAGCCGAATATCTTGTTTCAGTCGTAGAACCACTGTAGTAACTGTCTTCATATCATCACTACAGTGGAGAGGATGGATTCCTCAAACTCAAACCACAGGAGTGACTCAGCAGATGAAGACGACAACACGCTACAAGCTAAGGTTAGCAAAGTAGGTTAGTTAGCTCATAGATATCCATACGTAGATATCATGTTGTTTGTTGTTCGCTATCTGAGGCGATACGTCCGCGCGTCCGCCATATTGGAGCGGTCAAGATCCGCTTATGAACAAATTCACTTGTATTGAGAGACGATTAGTCTCAGGATTAAATCAGCCACAACTTCCTTATTACTCAACCGATTTTCACCAAATCTGTTTTGTTAAAATCCTCAGACACAGATTAATCTAGGCTGTATGGATCTGCTCTCGGTAGCTTTTATTTCTTTAATAACTGATCGTGATAATTAGCCGTCCGGACCAGCAGGAACGTATTCAGTCTGAACCTGGCGTTAAAAACCGAGTTTAGCGCGAGAAACACGATCAGACACATCAGCAAATGTGTGAATCACTTCTAATCTTAATACACATAAAAATAAAATAAACCCCCCAAAACACAGTAAGAAGGACGAAGCTTAAGTTGGCGTCCTATTCTACAGCTTCTTGTTCGAGTTCTCCCGTTCCACCTTAAATGGTTCAGCAGTTACTTTCTGGTGCCTGAAGCTGCACCATTTAAGGTGGAACGGGAAAATTCGAACAATATGGTGGCGATGCATCATTTAAGGTGGGAATTCGAACAAGAAACTGGCAAATAAGAAGCTGACTTCAGGTTTGTGTAAGAAGGTGCTAACGTTAATCTATTATGAATATCTACACCGATTAAGGAATACTATAATTTACCGCTACAAAGCTTTAACCATCACTGTAAATAAATAACTGCTACATTAAGTTAAGATCCCCTGAATAGACTATTAAATGAAATAAGCTTCATATAAAACCAGAAGAAAAACAATCACATCAACAGGTTCTCTGTGCTTCACCAACCACACGGCCATATCTACACAAACATCACACAGACATGAGTGTGGATCACTGCGTTCCCTCCGTTATATAATCCTATCCCTCTTTCTGAGTGTGATATTCTTGAAATAGTGTAATTTGGGACAGTGTCTTTCTTAAACTGCCGCTCTGTAATGGTACTGAATGCAGTCAAGCAGTGATAATGACCGCCCTAAAATGGCGGCGCCGTTGACGTGCGTGACTGGGCCCAACGCGGCATCTAGGTATGTGTATCTATGAGTTAGCTAGCTAGCTATGCACACTAGCCATTCTAACGCTCGTTACCTTAGCTTACCTCAGTCCTTCTGACCCCTTTTGCCTGGTTAAAAGGGTGAAAACTCGCCTCTGGCGCCCATTTTCTGTTTAATATACATAATCAACTTTGTCTTTCTGATGTTCTTGGCTGGTTATGTGTAATCCAGCTTTGAAATATAGCTAGCTAGCTAGTAAGTTAGTCCTTAGTAACGGTAGTCCTCTGGTCTGAAGTGCTGTGCGTTCCTAAATATAGCTAATTATCGTTTGGTTAAGCCTTTACTGGACATGAATGCTCTGTACTATCAAAAAAAACTCGAAAACTATAAAAATAAGTAAGAATTTTTACTTTAAGATTTTTGCTTCCTATTTAAACCCGTTATAAAAACGACACTTCATTGAAATACGAATTAACCCATTTGGAAGAAGAGAGTACACAGTAGATAAACGTTGCCCTAAAATGTTTTTACTTAACGATAATCTTTTGGTGGACAAGTACATGCAGCATGTTTTGAGGCAAAATAGTGCCCAAAGAAAAAACATATTATTCCAGATTTTCCACTATTTTACCAACATCATCCATATAAACACTCAGAAGACACATGTTGGTTCACTGGTGGTTTTGGATAGTAAATAAAATGTCTATATTTGTGTTGTAGTCATGGTGACCCCTGGTTTCTATCACCACCACTGTAAAGACATCTGAGTCTCTGCAGTCAACTATTTCACACCAAACCATTCATAATGACTTTGAATAATTCATAAATGTTTAAGTAAGAAAAATGCCTGTTAAGGTTTAAACCTGAATGTTCACAATTTCTGCATAATTCAATTAATGAGATGTAAACAGAGTCATTCAGAATGGTTTGGTGTGTTTCTCTACACTGGTGCACTGTAGAGAAACGTAGGGACTCAGATGTCTTTACAGTGGTGGTGATAGGAACCAGGGGTCGCCATGACTACAACACAAATATAGACATTTTATTTACTATCCAGAACCACCGGTGAACCAACACTGAAATGTTGGTTAGTGGTTCGTGAATCAATGCAGGTGACTCACACACACACACACACACACGTGCAGAGGGCACAGGTTCAAGTGCTGCTTTCTTAAGTTCATTGATAAGAATATTCCAGTAAAAAGGCCTCAGTCGTTTTTTTTCTTTTCCATGAATCTTGGTAAACAGGCTTTTTCCACGAAGACTTCATCGCTTGTTTGCGGACGGCACTCGTAAATACGGCCGCAGTCATTATTCCACGAGGTACGTATATAAAAGCATGTCATTCTTTATGTGAAAGATCATATTAATGCACCAGTGCAAACTTCCTTATAGATGGGTTTGTGTCATTGCTAATTGGCCTTGAGTGGACATTCTGCACATACCGTCCAGTGAACAGTGTGCTCTTGTCGCACAGTCTGTACAGTGCGCTGGTTATGCAATCTGGTAAAACAGTCTAATAATATTAAATCTGAGATATGAGGAAACCAGTGATAATGATACCGTTCACTCTCAAACAATGGTGAGCAGTTAAATCAATATAAAATACAGTACTGTACCAAAGTCAGAGAGACCACCCTTTCATTAATTTAATTTCCAGTCAAAACAGCCATTCAGTACAAGTTACAAATTTAACAGAAAATTACAGAGAAGCCTCAACAACTAAATCTAATGTCATTTTTGCCAAAGCCTTTATTCCAGCTTCCATTCTTTTCAGGAGACTCACTTTCAGTTCCTCAAGGAATCTGCAGGTTGATCATTTTCTGAAGTAATCAAACCCATTCAGTGGTGTTGAGGTCTGGACTCTGGGGTGGTCAGTCCATTGTTCAGCTTCTTTGTTTGATGTGTCTGTCTCCTTTTCTCAGTGAGGTTCTTCTTGACAGCTACACATCCTTTCAGACCCATAGCGCTGAGTCGTCACAGTGGAAGGATGGAGAGAAACACCTGTGGATGTTTTCAGATCTGAAGCAGCTTGATTTTCTCCTCTCTCTCAAACATGAAAGCTTTAAGTGCTGCTTATCTGATGGGGGCAGTTTTGGGGTCTACCAGGTCTTCCAGGTGGTTGTTAGGATCCTCATTTTCTCTGTAGCTTTTAATTAGTTTTTGAGCTTCAGGAAAAGTGCAACATTATTGCCAAGCAGGGAACTTGCAACCTCCCAACAGTAGGTCCAGTGGATTTTCTCAGGGTTTCTTGAGCACAAGGGGCAAACACTGCAACGCTGAGGGAAAGCCAGTGGTCCATAGTCGGCCGCTGATGACACTCAGTCATAAAATCAGTGAAGAAAATATTTGACTTAATAATAGGAAAGAAATATAAAATGTTTTCAAATGGTAAATAAAATTAAAAACAGCCATGCAACAATGGCGCACAGAGCAACTTCATCTACGAATGAACAACCACTTGTGAGCAAAATATTTTGCCACCATTCTGCCTGATTTCAGCTAAAAACAGCTTATGTTAGCCTAATTTGATGATTTTATGTTTACTGATACACATTGCATATTATGGCACCCAGACATTGCTGTGTTGAAAATTTTGCAAAAATATATATTTTTAAACATTTTTTTTCTGTGGGCCTTCATACTTTTTAGTGATAACATAGGTGGACCGTGAGGTAAGAGAGGTTGAGAACCCCCTACAGTATCTAAAATGTCCTCATAATCATCACCTTTAGCCATGTTAGGTGTGCATAAGAAATAAGTCTGCGTGGCAACTGAGGTGAGTTTGTGCAGCTGTTTGTGTGAATGTTAGTGTTTGAAGGGGAACAGAATGTCCGTGAGATGTTTGGGAGCAGCTTTTGTTTCAGCTGCAACTGGTTGGTTTTAAGATTGGAAGGATAGAGGAGTTACAGCATCAGTAGAGTGGATAAAAGTAAAGATTCAACAAATTAAATACTGATAGACTGAATTTTCTTAAGGCTTTATTATTTATTTATCTTTCTTAAGGTGTTATTTTCTGTTTAACATGTCGCTGTTGTCTCCAAAATGGTAACTTTACAGGAGAAGGAAAAAACATACTTTACTTTTAATGTATGACAATAGAACCAGACTTTTTTCCAAGTAATTTTGGGCCGTTTCTTTTGGGCCATTCTTTATAAAATTTACACACAATGTAAAGAACAACAGGTATTTTCAAAATATGTCAAAAACGGAAAAATGACAAAAATGGAGATACGATCCTGCTTTTTCCACTCAGACTGAAAAAATAGCTATTTTATCTGGAAATTGAATAAACAAATGGGTGATCTCTGACTTTTGCACTGTACTGTACAAGGCGCTTATTGGTCTGGCACCCTAATATCTGTGTTTAACCCATTGCTTACCCTCCAGCTTGCTTTGTTTGCAAGACTGGGTCTTAAGTTAAGATTTTAACTACACACTCAAAAAAGATGGTTCTTCAAGGGGTCTTTAGTAAAGAAAATGGTTCTACATAGAACCACGATCATTCAAAGAACCCTCTACACTTTTCACTGCAGAATTTAATGTATAATAAGGATTTTTTTAACTGCACATTCAAAAACACTTTCAAGAACAGGCTGAACATGAACCAACTGAACTTATGGTTTTAGTTTGTTTCCACCTGCTCAAGAGATAACTGGAACCATTATAATAACCTCGATTAACAACTTATTCATCTTTTTGGTCATTATTTGTCACTCTAAAGTGTCTAATTTGGCTAGTTGGCTGTCTTGCTTGCCAAATAGCTTATAGGCTGAATGAAATTATGTAGGCCTACTGCACTGTTCTGCACACACACTCATGTAAATGTCTATATTTGCACAGAATCAGATGTAGAAACCAACAAAGCTTTAGTTTTTTTCTGTTGAGTGTAAAAATATTCGTTAAAACACTCGTTCTGTGACCACCAGCCTAACAGTGTTACCTTTTTCAGTATCATATGTGGCTTTATGTTGACCTCTCTGCAGAGTAAAAATAAAAAAAAATAGCAGTCAACACATCAACATGGCATCATAGTGCTGGATAAATTCATTTTCATCTGGAAGAGTGAAGGATTTGTGGAATTGCTGTTAGATTTGCCAAACACAGAGGATCCTCAGTGGGGTTAATAAAAATGAAAAGCAATGATATGCAAATCATGTAAACCATATTTTAAAGGACACTACTATAAAGACAACATATCAAATGTTGAAATTGAGAAATTTGATTTGTTTTTGATTCCAGGTTGTCTGGATGGCAGGATATGTTGCCAAAACCTGTATTTTACCTGTATGTGCCTTCACAGATGTGCACGTCACTCATGCCGTGTGCACTAATGCCCCCCTATACCATCATGAATACTGACTTTTGAACTGTGCACTGACAACAAGCTGAGTGGTCTTTATCCCAGAGGACACAGTGTCCATGATTTCCAAAAAGAATTTCAAATGTTGATTCGTCGGACCACAGGACACTTTTCCACTTCGACTCAGTCCATTTTAAATGAGCTCAGGCCTAGAGAAGGTGGCAGTGTTTCTGGATCCTGTTTATATATGGTTTCTTCTTTGAGTTTTAGAGTATTACGTACTGTAGATGATGAAAAGCAAAGGTTCTTTGCAATTTTACATTGAGAAACATTATTCTTGAATTGTTGCACCATTTGATCGTGCAGTCTTTCACAGAGTGGTGAAACCCTCCTCATCTTTACTTCTGAAAGACTCCGCCTCTCTGAGATGCTCTTTTTCTACTTTTTTTTGTATCATGTTACTGACCTGTTGCCAATTAACCACCAGGTATTTTTTAGCATTACACAACTTTACCAGCCCTTTGTTGCTCCCGTCCCAACTTTTTTGGAACGTGTTGTTTGCATCAGATTCAAAATGGGCAAATATTTTTCAAAAAACAGTAAAATTTCTCAGTTTCAACATTTGATATGTTGTCTTTGAAGTATTTTCAATGAAACATAGGGTTTAAATGATTTGCACATCATTGCATTTTGTTTTTATTTACATTTTTGGAAATGGGGTTGTATTAGCATTATGGAAGAACGTGATATTTTTCCTGTAGGGTAACAAATAGGCCTGTCGCTGTTATTACCAAATCACCTGTTTGCACTTTGAGCTGATCATAATTATTTTCCAAAGATGTTGGCTTTCACAATCCTGTGAAATGTAATATCGCGACCTATAAAGATTTCTTGAAGTATTGTGATCTTTTATTTCTGCCGTATCGCCCATCTCTCTGCAGCAGTGAGTCATGTATGTTTGAGCTCGAGCTGTTTCTGTCATAATTACAGTTTAATACAATTGAATTGTCTTTTTAAAAACACATTGTTAATCACAGGTATTTAAGTGGAAGCTTATCTTCAGCAAAAATTCCATGATCGTGATGGTTGCAAATACAGTAAATGAGTAAAATGAAGACATTTTATTACAGTAGCCCAGGGTCACCTAAACATTCCGCTCATCTGGAGTACGATTAATACATAATCAAATATCGATTTGAAGTATAATTCAAATCTGAACGTCTGCCTGATGCCAGTCATTGTTTCAAAGCAACTATTTGCCAATACTGATATGACATCCCCAGTTTTGCTGTTTTTAATGGAAGTCATTGTTTCTTGTTCTTGCTTCACGTTTGTCAAGGTCACAGTTGTGACTTGTGTCCTTTTCTGTGAAATTCATAAAGTGGAGGAAGTCACTTTAAAGAGGCGCAGCAGCGCCTGTCTGTGCCGCTTTATAGCGTTACTGTCCTTGTGTGTGATTTAATAATTGTCCCACTTCATTGTTAAACGCAGTTATGAGGTTAATGATTGAATGTAAAGGGTGACCCAGAACCTGACACCACAACGTTGAAGAAAGAGAGAAAACAAATTAGACAAGTGGACAAAAAATTGACAAATGCAGATCAAACGCAGAGCACACAAAGTCGTTCCACGGGTTTTACCTTTAGACGAACGGACAGAAGAATGTGATTCACCTTAGGTTGCATTAAATGGATGCTGTGGTCATCTGGATGTATTAAAAAACACATGACCATCCTCACCGTCATCACAATACGGAGAGAAAGAAGAGAGAATAAAGGATTATGGGCACTGTATCAGTGAATACAGGACTCGGTCTTGCAGGAGAGCCCACGCCCACAAGTCTGGGAGGGGTGAAGTTATGATATAAATGTAGAAACTTTTGAAGAGTAGGCAGATTTGGAGAGCTTGAGAAGTTTGGAAGTGGGAATGGAGTCTTTTTGAAACCGTTTTGATTTCAAAAGAGATCAAGATTCAGATCAAGAGCTGAACCTCATATATACAAAGGTGAGATTTGAAGCTTTGTTCAAGCTGATTATTATGAAGTAATCTAACTTTGTATGTATATTTAGCCTATTTATTGAATAGTGATAGTAATAGTTATCCAATTCTTGACAAATTCACCAAAAATTACCTTTCACTGCTGTCAGAACAAAAAATTGTATCTGGAAAACGGTAACTTTACAGAAGAAGGAAAAAATGTACTCTACTTTCAATGTAAGTCAATGGAACCAAACGTCTTTCTAAGTAATTATGGGCCGTTTCTTTTGATCTATTCTTTATAAAATTGACACACAATGTAAAGGACAACAGGCATTTTCAAATTAAAAACCTGAAAAACAACAAAAATAGAGACATGACGTCCAACAACAGCGCTTTATTAATTCTTTTAAACTACGTTTTATGTTGAATAAGACCCAATTTAAAAATCTCAAAGTCACAAGGTTTTAACATAGCAAAAGTAAAACTGATCAACATTCAGTGAGGATAAAAATGAACTATTTGATCTGAATGTACTTCTTCCCTCCCGCTATTCTGTCTCCAGTTTTAAATAGCCGGATGCTTATTCAAACGGCATCACTTATCCGTTTTAACTGGCTGTGTAAACGTACCGTGTAAAATGAACAGAGGCTCTTATCAGCTAAGGAAAATAAATGTACTAATGGATCTCGCATAGTCAGCTGCCAGACCGATGAAAGATGCATTTGCACCTTGACACATCACAGTGATAATGTACACACTCAGAGGGAGAAAAGGAAAGGTTTGTAAAGGCTTGTTGATCGGGTTGTGATGCAATCGTACATAAAACACTTCTGAATGACGGGATCTTTTTAAAATAAAGAGGGATGTAAACCTGTTAACTTGAATGTTTTAATATCACTAAATGTTTAAAAACTCTGAACGTGAACCATAGAAATTAGATTGGAAACATGCAAATCACGCAGCTTATTGTTTTAGTTTTGGACGATCTGTGTTGCAGTTTTATAATGTAAATAACACAGGTTAGTGCACCGGCACTGTATTTGAATGCTGCAGCTACACCTGTACCAAAATGTAGTATATTTGAAGAGATTCACTGCAAAACACATTCATGACCAATAAGGAATTTCCTGATGTAAACTGAAATTAGCTTTACACATTTAAGAAATGTCAGTGCTATTTTATGGTTAATACCAGCTTTATTAGAGAAATAAAAATGTTTTCATTAGTCCTCGTATCTGAACTTGCTGCAAAAGGATATACAAGCAATTTGGAATGAAACTCTTCAGTAAATAGCACTTTATTTGATTTAATGTTATTTAAATAGGCAACTAATTTTTCATTGAAGAACTTTAACATACCACTTAGCCCACTAAAGCTGCGCTATGTCAGATTTGTTTTTGTTAAAACTGAAAGAAGTGTCATTACTGAGTAAGGAAAATAAAAACAGGCTAAAATATGTTGAGCGTGCTGCTGTGAGTCGCCCTGTAAAGCCTGAAATAATCATCTAAAAGTCAGAACCATCGGGTGGGAATTTTTCACACCATGTCGTACGTCTTTACGTATTAACATCACACGCACAGCCTCTGAAAGAAGGTCCGGCTCGATATTTAGGTCTTAAATGATCTCAGTATCAACATCATACTGATGAAGATGTGATGATGATAATAGATAATTCACTCACATCCTCAGAAGACGCACCATTCACCAAGATTAGACTGAGTTCTCTTTGAATTCTCTTTCAATCATCAGATTCATCCCCTTGGGGAAGGGGATCGAAGCACAATCCGTGCTACAAAATGTTCTTCCACACAGTGCATGCAATTTAGAGAGGTCCGACAATCCCCGAAACACACATAGTGCAGCTTTAAAGAGCAAACTATGTTGTAAATGTGGCTTAGACAAGGTTCTGGTGATGGTGTGTTTCATGTGTTCATTTGGCCCAAACAGTGTAACCTTCAGGTATTAGAAAGAAGCTGGAAGATTTGGAATTAGAATCGATCATAAAAATTCCTCTCATCGGTGGAAGATGATTCCATAAAAAATGTCATGGAGTGACTATACAGCTCTGGATTATCTGAAACTGCATGATCCTAAAACCTTCAATCATTGTTCTCCCTCCAGGAATCCAAGTGGTCACCAAGGCTCCAACCACATCAATGGGGCACCGCTTCTCCAGACGCAGAATGTCCGACCTGGACAGCTTGCCTCAGGGCCGCTTTTCCTTCAGCGAAGAGGCGCCTCCGAGATACTCAGGTCGAGGGGATCAGGATACCGTCAGAAACGGTCAAGCCAGCAGTGAGATCAGGGTCAACATGGAAACGATCCCAGGACAGCAGTCTGACCGTCGGGCTTCGAGGCAGGACGGACGACGACCGTCCATTTACAGCACCATGGACGCCGTGCCTCATCTGGAGTTCTACTCCAATGCCACAGCTACGGGCCGGATACGGCGCAGCAGACCTTCCCTGGAGACTCTCCGCAAGGCTTTTGAGGTGAGTAGTAGAGATGGCGTATCGGTAACGATGGTTGTCAGTATCAGGCCAATATATCAGCTCATATTCAAGGTTTAATATCAGTACTGGAGAAGAAAAATAACATGGTGTAGGGGTGTAACGATTCAATTTGTTTTGATACAACACAGCGGTGTCTCAATTCGATACGGCAAAAATGAGCGGTGCCTGAAAATCTACTTTAGTATTAATTTGTCAGTGTGGCAATTGTCAGTTCATTAGAGCATTCACCATTATAAAGGTGCAACGTTTAATAATAATGCACAAGCCACAAGCTAATATACACACACGGAGTGTGCCATCAGTTTTTTGTGACTTTTTTCAGAGGAACAAGGATGGAACAGAGTGATAGCAGCAGAAACAGAATATAATGATATTTCAAGAAGTTTTCACAATGCATGATGCATCATGATACATGATGCTATATTAATGTTTTGGCATCTGATGAGTTGAAACAGACAAAGTAGTGCCACATTTTAAAAACGCTATCAGTAACTATGAACACAATGATTTGTAATAAAGTTTTTTGTGTGTTATGCTTTTATCATTGTGCTGAATTTACCTTTGTAGCACTTCAAGATTTTCACCTAAATGGAAGGTGTGTTTATCAATAAAATGCATTGTAATTATTATCAATATTATTATTTCATACTGCACTGCACTAAACCAGTTGAACAGGACTAATTATGCTCTCTTTGTATTCAGACATGCAGTTGGGAAGCGTTTTTAAGTACTGACGATATATTCAGGATATGTTCAGGAAAGCTTATTATAACATATTGTGGTGTAATTTATCACAGTAACAATGTTGTCGTATTGTTCAGCCGTACTCTGCCCTCATTGTGGGTATTTTATTGTACTTCTATATATGCACTATAATCAGTATTAAATTGTATCTGCTGCAGTCTGTTGTATTGTTATGCTAAATCTATTGTTACATTCCTGTGTGTATTGAATTGAGAAGCTCATATTAGGCAAATTGCACTGTTACGCTTCTACTATGGTGTTATCTCCACACACCCAAAAAAGATGGTTCTTCAAGGGTTCTTTAGTAAAGTTCTATACAGAGGCATGGACACTGAAAGAACCCTATGCATGAGTAAATGGTTATTTGCATTGTTAAACGGTTTTTCAGATTGAGCAAGACTGTGTTTTTTTAAATGTTTCTATATAGCACCAAAAAGGGTTCTTCTATTGCGACAGGCTTGACATTGTGACACTAAAAGAACCCTTTTTAGTGCTATATAGAACCATCTACAGCACATTTTCCATCAATCTGAAGAACAATTTCACCAGGCAAAGAACCATTTAATAACACAAAGGGTTCTTTGAGTGCTAATGGTTCTATATAGAACCATTTCCTTTGCTAAAGAATCCTTTACTAAAGAAACTGCAAGGTTAGTGGTGAGCTTAGGGCCAAAATGACAAGGCAGTATAGGTTGTTCTGTTTTTAAAGGGTCATAAAAATAATTTTTAAATACGTTTTTTCCCCATTGTGTGAAGAGGTATGAGGTTTGGAGCAACTTTCTGGTGGGCCAACTTTGAGCAGCTCCGATCTTGAAATATTCTGATAATAAACTCAAGTGTTCTGAGCACAAATAGCTGTCAGAAACATTACTCTGTGTTAGTTTAATATGATGTGTTTATTGTTCTGTGACCGTATGTGGTTCAGGATGGTGAATCGAGCAGTAGTACGGGAGACTCGGGAACTGGAAGCCTGTCCGCAGTCCCAGAGCAGGGGGAGGAGAACGGCGCTGAGGGGAAGACGACTGAACCAGTCCGTTTTGGCTGGGTCACGGGTGTTATGGTGAGGGTGATGTGACTGTACACAAATGGGAGCACACTTTTGAGTATTGGCTTCCTAATATTATCTACTGGTTGCAGATTCGCTGTATGTTGAATATCTGGGGAGTCATTCTGTTCCTGCGATTGTCCTGGATTACATCTCAGGCAGGAATCCGTGAGTAAAACCTCCACTTCTCAAAATGTAGATGAAGCAGAAATCTAAGTGGAAGGTTCTTATAGTGAACTGAGTACTGATCAACGGTGGGAAAAGAACTGGCAAATTACACTTACGTGAATGGATGGATGCTCGGTTAAAAGTGGAAGTGTGGAGAAAGAAATGTTCTTCAGTAAACGTAAAACAGTACACTGCAAAAAATATAAATAAGATAAAAATCATAAATAAAAAGTCAATTCTATAAATAAAATAAATAAAAAATATCTTGGCAGATCATCATTAATCATCTTAAATCTACAACCCCATTTCCAAAAAATTTGGGACGCTGTGCAAAATGTAAATAAAAAACAAAATGCAATGATGTGCAAATAATTTAAACCCGATATTTCATTGAAAATAGTACAAAGACAACATATCAAATGTTGAAACTGAGAAATTGTAACGTTTTGTTTTTTTTTAAATATATGTCCGTTTTGAATTTGATGTCAACAACACGTCCCAAAAAAGCTGGGACGGGGGCAACAAAAGGCTGGTAAATGCAAAAAAAAACACCTGTTTTAAAAGAGTCCGAGTGCTAAACCGGTATTGTTGGCATCAAATTCAAAATAGGCATATATTTTTCAAAAAACAATAAAATTTCTCAGTTTCAACATTTGATATGTTGTCTTTGTAGTATTTCCTTCAAACGTATGGTTTGCATGATTTGCAGATCATCGAAATATATTTTTGTTTACATTCTGCGCAGCATCACAACTGTTTTGGAAATGGGGTTGTAGTTGTTGTATCCAATACTTCTCTTTTTGAAATGGTTATAAAATTATGAGATTATTTGACCTCTTTCTAGATCAGGCATGTCAAACTGAGGACCTTCCAGGCCAAAGTGCTGTGGAGATCAGCGTTTACCCTCATCTAACACTCTGAATTCAGTTCATGAAGGCCTTGATAATTAGCTGATGAGCAGAATCAGGTGTGTTTAATGAGGCAGTGTGCTGTCTGCAGTGTTTTGGCCCACGAGGACTGGAGCCTGACACATGTATTCTAAAGGTTTTTACAGAATATATAGTGAAATAATTTTGTTCTTTTAAGAAATAATGCTGGAAACAAGCAAAATTATTCCTATAACAGTCTCAAAATGAGAAATATTAGATATATCAACTCACTATGATATTATTTTTTGCAGTGTCGACATTTAAACGTTAAAATGTATATAAAAGTAAAAAGCAAATATTACAAATGAAAAGGATTCTTTGATTCTTTGCTGGGTAAAGGTCAATAATCAGTGCTACTAGTCCTTGCACAAAAACAAATCAGCATATTTGTGGGCAGATTAATTTGACATTGAATTTAGTTGTATGTTTTAATATTGTCATTAAAAACAATAAACTCAAATGCACGAACTCCACTGATTCTTTTGGGCTTCGAGATTTGGAATAAGTACTTATGAGGGTCTAAATGAAAATTTAAGGAGTAAAAATGTGTTTTTTTTCCCTTGGAAATGTCATTGAGTAAAAGAACAGGTATAATAATAATAATTTGAATAAACCTCAGATAAAGTGCAAATCATCTAAAATTATACTAAGTATAATAACTAAGTTCAAATGCTAATGTACAGGGTGATTCAAAAAGATTCATCCGACTACAAAACGATTTATTTCTCTTGTAAATCATTACAGATCAATGCAGTAAACTGTAAATGGTTTAATTGAGCATAAATTTATTATGTAATTGTATATGTGCTCAGTATGAACCTCCTCCAGCTGTACAGACAACATCAACGCCATATTCAGATTCATCCCATACTGGATTGAGCATGTCGGGTGTCGCTGCACTCACGGCTCTTTCAGTGCGATTTCGGAGATCATCCGGTGTTGTGGAACCAACGACGGACGCTCTGAGTTGTTGGAGGTTCACTGCCCATGAAAATCACACTGCACAGTTATGACTGATTCACTCTTATTGAGAGAACGCAGAACGGAGAACGCAGAACGCTTTCTACTCAGGGGTCTCATCTCCTCTCAGAGTGAAGGGAGCCATCTTCCACTGACAGTCAGAAACTCTATGACCCCCTCTTTCAATTGGATTGTGATTGGTTCCTATAGGCGCCTCACGTCTGTAAATTTATGGCGCTTTGAAATCAGATTAATCTTTTTGACCCACCCTGTTTTTCACACCCCGGTACCAAAAAGGGTTCTTCTATTGTTACAGGCTTGACACCGTAACAATAGAAGAACCCTTTTTGGTGATATATAGAACCATTTTCAAAAAATGATCTGTATAGAACCATCTACAGCACATTCTCCATCAAATTTGAAGAACCATTTCACCATGCAAAGAACCCTTCAATCACAAAGGGGTTTCTTTGACTGTTCCTGATTCCACATTTCTTTACTAAAGAACCCATGAAGACAGTTGTTGGCAGTTCCTTTTACATTGATATGAATTTGGTTGTATGTTTTAATATTGTGATAAAAAAATGAACTCAAATGCACGAACTCCACTGATTCCTTTGCCCTTATTCTTGATTCTATACTAATTATTTTATTCTTACTTGGTTTTTTACTTATTATTTAGTTTGAATAATGCTCATATATAGTACAAATCTTCCAGCATTATAGTCTGTATAGTAACAAAGTACAAATGCTCGTGTGTTTCCCTCTGTGGTACTGATATCTCTCCATTTCTGCTGCAGTTCTCACTTGGGTTATCATCTTAATGTCCGTCCTGGTGACCTCGATTTCTTCGTTATCTGTGTCGGCCATTGCCACCAATGGAAGGGTCTCATCGGGTGAGTGACAAATGCAAAAACCACTCCTCCACCCTTGTTCATTTCATCGTGATTCTCACTCTGTTCTTTTCTGTCCGTCAGGTGGTGGCTACTTCATGATTTCCCGCACTTTGGGTCCTGAAATGGGGGGCCCCATCGGTATGGTGTTCTCCTTTGCCAATGCTCTGGGGTGTGCCCTCAACACTGTGGGATTTTCGGAGTCTGTCCGAGACCTCCTCGTTGTAAGAAAAAGATTATGATAGTATTATGTATATGCTGCAAGAAATACCTTAGCAAGTGAAGTTATCGTAATCTAGTCGATATGCCTAATAATTTTCTTTTTGTTGTAAGCTCAGTATAAGGATTTGTAACCTAGTGGACATTAAATCACCACACCGTGATATAAATCAGCTGCCCGACCCAACAGAGTGAAATGTTTCATCTGTAACAAATAGGAACAAACAGTTGTGGCTACTAAATGTGAATCAGACAGTTGATACATGGCTCTCACCGTACATTGCATTACATAATCAATAGAATCGATGGAATATTTGCCAAAACTAATTCTGTTTCGGACTCCCCCAAATTTATTCCTATTATAGATCATCCGTGAGTCTCTAGGCCGAAATGATGGTTAGCATCTGTGTTACTATGAAAATGGAGCCCTTAATTCCTTCTGTTTTCTTTTCAGTGTAGTAATTGCATTCCGACTGTTTTTTTTATGACGCAGGAGTATAATGCCGTCATGGTGGATGAAACCAATGATGTGCGAATCGTAGGTACCATCACGGTCACTGCGCTTCTGCTCATCTCATTGGCTGGAATGGAGTGGGAGTCGAAGGTAAATACTTTAGCTGAAATCATAGGTTCAGCTTTTATCCAGGGCTTTTTCTTGCTGTAAGACGTATAAACAGTTTCTTAGGCTATATTCACATTAGCAGGTGTGACTCAGATCTGATGTTTTCAGGGCTGTGTGGACGCAAATCTGATCTTTTCAAATCCGACCTGAGCCACTTTCATATGTGGTTCTAGATCGGATACATATCTGTTTCGTGGCCATGCGACCTTAACGTGACGCTCAGATCGGAATTCATGCGCTTTTATTCACTGCGTGTGCGCCATCATACAGCGTTACCATGGCAGCAGCGCCGAACAGAAGTTAAAGCCTGTAAACGGTGGAAAAGCAGCTCATCTCACCTTTTTCTCCTTCGTCTCGCTCTAATAATGAAGCTGAGAGCTGATCAGAGTTAATGATCTTCTCAGCGAAGCTCGTTCTGCTCGTTAGTTTGTGCTGATGATGCACATGATTCATTCACGTGACGTTACTGAGTAGGATGTGCTCATGAGGGTCATTTCAGGACGCCGGTTCGTCACATTAATGACAGATTTGAGTCACTTACATAAACGAGTGTGAACAGCCGTGTCAGAGAGATCGGATTTGAGCAAAAAATCAGCTTTGAGCAACGAGGCTTGTAATGTGAACGTAGCCATAGGACCCAGAGTTCCAAGGAGCACCACAGGTATGTGCAAAAGTTTGTGTGTTCCTAGTCACATGACATGTTTTGTTTTTTTGTTTTTGCTGCAGAGAACACATATCTGCACATTTTAGCACTGTTTATTGGCTAAATTGTAACATAACTGAGAAAAAAATGGGGGTTATGGCACATTTTATAGTTTGTGTTTTGTTTTGTATTTACTTATTTTCCCTTACCATTAAAAGAAGTCATTTGACCGGGGCGTATGAGTGTATATAGTTTTACTATTATTATTAGTAGTAGTACTAGTAGCGTTGTTGTTATCATTGTTAAAGCATGTAATTTGTCAGTGATGTTATTGTCAGTGATGTTGAATTGACCTATTTGATTTCATTATTCATTCGTTTTGTTTACATAAGCAACTTAGTGGTTGAAAGATTCTGTTGTCTTGCTTGTGTTCACTTAATTCCTGTTTTTGTTGTCATTTAAATGAGTACTGGAAAGTATTAGGCAGAAGCAGAATTGCTTGTACCATTTCATCTGATGCTATAAGGGTCCTTCTCTCTTTCCCAGACCCAGATTCTGTTCTTCCTTGTGCTGATGGTGACCTTCTCCAACTATTTTGTTGGTACATTTATTCCACCCACTACACAGAAGCAGTCAATGGGTTTCTTCAGCTACAGAGGTACCAGCAACCCAAGTGTATAATGTACATTTTATAAGAAGGTCACCTCAGGTCATTCCTCATCTTAAGTTCCGACATACCCAAACCGACTTGTTGTATGAGAGTTTTGCTTGTTGAGTGTCTGGTTTGTTTTTAAACTGAGGAACTCTCATCTTCAGCTGAGATTTTTGTGGAGAATCTGTTTCCTGACTGGAGAGGGTCAGAAGGAAATTTCTTCCAGATGTTTGCCATCTTTTTCCCCTCTGCTATCGGCATCCTGGCGGGTGCCAACATCTCAGGAGACCTGAAGGTAACTCTACACACATACTGAAGTCTCCTGAGCTGAACCCAGGTCTTCAGTGCTAAAAGTAAATATGCACTGAACTGTTGCATTTGTTCTTCTAATAGGATCCAGAGACTGCCATCCCCAAAGGAACAATTATGGCCATCTTCTGCACAACAATGAGCTATTTATTGATTTCCATAACTGCAGGTGAGAGCACAATGAATGAGTGCAAGATATGTCAGTGCGGTACTGGCTTATATCAGTGCTCTTATTGGAACGTCTTTCCACTTCCCAGTTATTTCCACTCAGAACAGTGGAAATAAGACCAGGCTCCTATCTGTTTCAATGAAGAGAGACCTGTAAACCTGAAACTAAGAGCTGTATTACCTCTGTATTACCTATGCAAATGAAATTTGCATAAATAGTTTATAATGTTTGGCTCAAATAACAAAAAAGGAGGTTTTCTTTCAGCTTGTTTTGGCCACTGCGCATGTACATATTTCCACAACGAGGCAAAGCCTTTCCTGCATGCGGCTTTACCAGCAAGGCTCTTTTTACTGAAGGGCGGGACTTTCCCCAAAAACAGATGCCATATTGAGCAATAAAAGCTTTCCCATTCACTTTTCAACCAGTCAACTGTCTCCTCCTCCTTTGTAACGTCTCTGCTTTATTTAGGGTGACCATATTTTGGTTTTCAAAAAAAAGAGGGCAGACTACAAAAAGCAAATGTCAGTATGAAAACAAAACCAAACTGTGGATATGTTATGCATATTTTTAGGTCGTAATAAAGGACATGTCCTGGAAAAGCTGGATGTTTGGTATTTTGCATTGTTTCTGATTTCTGCTCTTAGGAGCGTGTGTGGTGCGCGATGCCTCTGGGAACCTGAATGACAGTTTGCCACTGAACTACTCTGGACCATGTGAGGGTTTGGGATGCAAGTTAGGCTGGAACTTCACAGAGTGTGAACAGAGCCAATCCTGCTCCTACGGCCTGTCCAACAACGTCCAGGTATGACTTTTAATCAGCTCCCATTAGTGCTGCCTTCTCAGCAATGGGCATCACTTCACTGTTGAACTAGAGTAAAATCAATCCTGAATAGCAGAGCTTTCATATGGTTTGGCTGCAAAGACTCGGAATGCTACTATCCCAGTTAGGAATAATTTCACATGTACTTTACTTTTTGTTATATCCACCATCTGAGAAATCGTGAAATGTTGAGTCTTTGCCATTTTGGCTAATTTCCCTTTTAGCCACTCCCACTCAACCAGCCTTCATACTTTTGCCATCACAGCTGCAGTTTTACATACGAATGTCTCTGATGGATGGGACAGTGTAAAACAGTGATGAAATGTCTCATATTTTTGATGAACGTTTTCCGTGGGCTAATTGGACTATATGGCCTTACTAGATGAATTGGCATTTTAGCTAAGAGGCTCCTGTAAAATCCAGAGACATGAAGGAGTCGACGCCTGAATGGAAACATCTAAAGTAAAGAATGTTTCTGAAGGGCTTTAAATGCCTGTGAGCTGCTAAAAAAATGTAAAACTCACGAATCACAAGGTTTCTGCTATAAACATTGCTGTGTAATGACATGCTTGTCATTGGTGAATGTGTCTGGCTCTTAGTTTAAACAAGCTTAAGCTGAATATGTCTGCTCCACTGCAGCCATTGTTGAGCTCTGCACCGTGATACAATGACCACACCTTCTACTCCGCCTCTACCCCCAAACTCGAAATCAGCACCCAGGAAATGTCCTTTAAAACACGTCATACAAAGCCCAAATCAAACTATATTAAACTTTTTAAAAGCAGTAAAATATGCATTTTAGATGTCCTCCAGAAATCCTCCAGGATATGGAAACTATACTGGCCAAAGCTCCTGAGATCGATATACTGCCCGTGTTCAACAGTGTTTTAATATTAATGTGACAATGGCGACGTAAAACCATGGAATGGAACAAAGTGAAAGGTCAGGGGATTCAAGATGATGAAATGTACATTTTTGATATAAGACGTGTGTTTGTTTTTTTAAGGTGCTCAACTTGATCTCAGGCTTCGGCCCTCTTATCACTGCTGGCTTGTTTGCCGCCAGCCTGTCGTCAGCCCTCGCCTTCCTCGTCTCTGCCCCCAAAGTCTTCCAGGTAAGAAGCCTTACCGTCACAGGTGCTAGATAATATGACTGTGCATACACTGGAAAGACATTTTGCAAACCTGTCTGTTGTCCATTGTTTTCTTAGTGTCTCTGCAGGGACAACATTTACCCTTACATAGGCTTCTTCGCTAAGGGTTACGGGAAGAACGATGAGCCGCTGCGTGCCTACATCCTCACTTACTTCATCGCTCTGGCATTTATTCTGATTGGTGAGCATTCAAGTTATACTTTGACAGTTCGAGGGATAAATCCTACATCAGGGAGCCCAGTCCTGTTCATGGAGATTTACCACCCTGGACAGTTTAGATCCAGCACACCCGGCCCTGATATTCAGGTGGTCCTGAAAGCCTTCATTACCCTCATTCAGTTGATTAGAGTTGAAGCTAAACTCTGCAGGGTGGTAGATCTCCAGGGCAACCCGCCCTACACTTTTCTTGTATTTTTTTTTGGTCAAGGTCCATTTATGACATTTATGTGGTTACGTATCAATAACTGTCATAATTAATTCAGTCGAGTTTATTCTTTGGACGTTGGCAAAGATTTTGTGATTTTAGCATATTGGAATTGAAATTAAATAATAAATATAAGCTTTAATTTGAGGGTATTTACAACAATAACGTAATAATGTGAACATATTTGTGGACCTGACCATTTTCCAATTAAATTTAAAATGTAAATTTAATTCAAACTAAACAGGCTTAATTTGGTACTGTTTTTAAGACTGATGTATGTGTATGAGACCTCAATTCCGATTGGCTGTCCTGTATTGTGCCTCATTTAGAAAGCAATCTAGGCTTAAACACTGTGTAACTTCAGTCTAAATGGGCGGGCGGCTACACCCTGATTGAAAAACATTGAATTCAAGTATGGGAACTAAAGCAATGATTCTATTTCTAAAAAGAGGAAAATCTGTTTTTCTATGATATGAGTGATGTAAGATGTTTTTAACTTTTATTTTAGAAAAGCTTAAACATGTTATCCAAACTACAGAACAGAAAGATCCATTTTGAGGTGTTTACTAAAGATTACCAGTCTTCATATAGTCTTTGTGCTGGAGCATGGCTAATTTACTTATTTTTGATTAACCTTGACCATTTTTTAATTGAATTTGTTAATCTATATAAAAAAAAGTGTCCATTAGGTTTGACCCCTCCTGATCCATATATCCTTTATCAGGTACTGTTATCTATTATAACCTCTGATTCAGCAGTTCCCTCTCCTTATTTACTCAGTATCTCTTGTCTTTTCAGCCGAGTTGAACACCATCGCGCCTCTGATCTCTAATTTCTTTCTGTGCTCCTACGCTCTCATCAACTTCAGCTGCTTCCATGCCTCCATCACCAACTCCCCAGGTGAGCAGACACCTCCACCGTGAACCTCCACAGGTCTTCTCATTATATTTGATTTAAAAACAGACTTGCAGTTTGACGTATTAATCTGCTCACTTTTTACATGAGAAGGTCACCAATCCTTGTGGTCATAATTTGCTCACATTTTCTCTGTGCTGTACATGTTTTTTGTACAATAAACTGGATACATAACAAGTTAATATTATATACCACAAAGTACAACCCCATTTCCAAAAAAGTTGAGACGCTGTGCAAAATGTAAATAAAAACAAAATGCAGTGATGTGTTAAATTCATTTAAACCCCATATTTCATTGAAAATAGTACAAAGACAATATATCAAATGTTTAAACTGAGAAATTTTATTGTTTTTTGAAAAATATTTGCCCATTTTGAATTCGTTGCCAGCAACACCTTCCAGAAAAGTTGGGACAGGGCCAGCAAAAGGCTGGTAAAGTTGTGTAATGCTTAGAAAATACCTGGTGGTTGATTGACAACAGGTCAGTAACATGATTGGGTATAAAAAGAGCATCTCGAGTGGTGGAGTCTTCAGGATTAAAGATGAGGAGGGGTTCACCACTCTGAAAGACTGCACGATCAAATAGTGCAACAATTCAAGAACGTTTCTCAACATAAAATAGCAAAAAACTTTTGCTTTTCATCATCTACGATACAGAATATCATTAATGGTCAGTGGTGGGCCAAGTTCACAAATCCTGTACTTGAGTTAGAGATACCCAAGGTAAAATGTTACTCCAGTAAAAGTAGAAGTTCCTGCCTTTAGACCTCCACTTGAGTAAAAGTACGAAAGTATTTGCCGTCAAATGTACTTAAGTATCAAAAGTAAAAGTACTAAAAGGTTAATTCTGGCTCTAATGTCCTATCAGCATTTCTGTAACAAAACCCGCTTCATTAACTCATTTTAGGTGAGAATACTCCAGTGTCACTCTTGGTAAACCAGTCATTTAATAGAATGTCATTAATTAGTGACGCTGATCTATTAAAATTATCATAAGAGCAAAACACTGAAGGCAAACAGTTTCCATTAGGTAGAACCGAGAGGCTCTGAAATACAAACAAGCAAAGTTTCAGTTTAGGATTTGTTTGCAACTTAGTTACAAGTTTAATAAAAACTTGCTTTAATCACAGATTCACAAATGAGTTTTCCTTTACTATATTGTATCTGTAGGTCTCTGTTCATAAACATAAACTAGCCAAAACAAACTTACTATAAAATGAAATCGTGTTTGTATAAATTCAGAAAAAAGACACGTCAGTCACAACTGCATATGTGTACATATTTCTATATTGTGGTCTATTTACACAAAGTTAGGTTAGTTCATCATTTATGCTGAATAGACTCTCCCAAAATTTTACGCTGCTGTACTGACGTTGAACCGTGTGCTGCACTGGGTCGGTATGTCCAACAGGTCAAAACAAGCTCAAAACAAAGTGTGTGCTGTGCCCTGATTGGTGCTCTTCCTTCACGCTTCTTTCATTTTGGCATGTTATGTTTTTATACACACAAAAGTCAAAAGGAACGACAGATTTCTCATAATGTAGTGGAGTGAAAAGTAAAAAGTCGCCCAAAATGGAAATACTTCAGTAAAGTACAGATACACGAAAAAACTACTTAAGTACAGAAACGAATTACATTTACTTCGTTACTGTCCACCACTGTTAATGGTACATTAATATCATGGGCCCTCAGGCGGCACTGCATTAAAAACAGACATGATTCTGTAGTGGAAATCACTGCATGGGCTCAGAAACACTTCTAAAAAACCACTGTCTGTGAAAACAGTTTGTATTTCTGCATCCAGAAATACTAATTAAAACTCTAAAATGCAAAGAAGAAACCAAATATAAACAGGATCCAGAAATGCTGCCGCCTTCTCTGGGTCCGAGCTCATTTAAAATGAACTAAGGGGAAGTGGGGAAAAAAGTGTCCTGTGGTCCGACGAATCAACATTTAAAATTCTTTTTGGAAATCATGGACACTGTGTCCTCTGGGCTAAAGACCACTCCGCTTGTTATCAGTGCACAGTTCAAAAGCCAGTATTCATGATGGTATAGGGGGGCATTAGTGCACATGGCATGGGTGACGTGCTCATCTGTGAAGGCTCCATTAATGCTGAACTATATATACATGTTTTGGCAACAGATGCTGCCATCCAGACAACGTCTTTTTCAGGGAAGGCCTTGATTATTTCAGCAAGACAATGTAAAACCACATTCTGCATGTATTACAGCAGCATTGCTCTGTATTAAAAGAGTCTGGGTGCTAAACTGACCTGCCTGCAGTCCAGACCTGTCACCACTGAAAACATTTGCCGCATTATGAAATGAAAAATATGATGATGAGACCCTGAACTGATGAGCAGCTGAAATCCTGTATCAAACAAGAACAGGAAAACATTTCACTTTCAGAACTACAGCAGTGTCTCCTCAGTTCCCAAATGCTTACAGAGTGTTGTTAAAGAAGAGGTGATGAAACACAGTGGTAAACAGGCCCCCGTCCCAACTTTGTTGGAAAGTGTTGTTGGCATCAAATTCAAAATGGGCATAAATTTTTCAAAAAAAACCAATCAAATCTCTAAGTTTCAACATTTGATATGCTGTCTTTGTAGTATTTTCCTTTTTCCTAGATTACATGATTTGCATATCATTGCATTTTCGAATTGTTTTGGGAATGGGCTTGTAGATACAAGGTAGTTGTACCTAATAAATGCTCCACCACCCAAACAGTCCTGACAATTGATGAACAAGGTAAAGTGGGCTAACAAAGTATGCAGAGAAACAGATGGACTACGGTCTGTAATTGTAGAACTACAAAGTGTATTTATATGGTAAAATGTGTAGAGGTAGGTGTACCTAATAACGACCACCTTTGTCCATCTGAATGTCTTATTTTTTTATATCTACATACATAAGCGTGTGTGTGTGTATGTAAAATGTGAGCCACCATTATAAAGTGTTCATGAATGATTTAAAATGAGTTTATTAGTGGTTACTAATTAGGTCACAAAGACCTTAAAACCATGAATACAACATAAATAAAGAGGGCAACGGTGACCTGCTGTTTGCCTAATAGTGAACTCTTAATCATTTATACTTTTAAACTTCAGATTTTGATGTTTACTGATCTTACTTTGTCTTTATCAGTCAGCATGAAACCTGTCAGCTTCATCATAAATTTATGTTCATCAGATATAACAGCTCTGTGTTATAACTGCTTATTACCAAAATGTGGACTAGTTATAGCACATAGCAAAACATAAGACAAAGGTGGTTTAGATGTAGGTTCTAAATAGTCATGGACTTGACTGTATATGACCTCTTTCCAACCTTTCTTTATCCTCTAGAATGAAACAGCCTGGTTTTGTTACTGTCTTTAAGACTGACACATGTAAATGATCTCAGTTCTGATTGGCTGTCCTGTATTGTGCCTTTCTTAAAAAGCAGTCCAGGCTGAAACACTCCTTATAACTTCAGCGTAAAAATGGACAGGTTTTATTTGACTTGGCTTTACGTTTGTGAATGCCAGTTCTCTTCATTATGTTTTGTCTGACTGTACCGTTTCTGCACTGTAGGTTGGAGGCCATCATTCAAATACTACAGCAAATGGACTGCTCTGTTTGGATCCGTCATCTCTGTGGTGCTGATGTTCCTGCTCACATGGTGGGCAGCCCTCGTTACATTTGGCATTATCCTCTTCCTGTTTGGATATGTTACGTACAAGAAACCAGGTATGATAGTAATATCTTCTCAAATTCAGATCAATGGAAAATCCATTTAAAGATACACTATATGGTCAAAACTCTGTGGACACCTGGGCGTTACACCCATATGAGCTTGCTGGATATCCCATTCCAAAACTATGGGCATTAATATGGTTGGTATAGTGTAGTGCACTGTAACACCACTACACTATAGACTGGGGTTTAATCCCTGCCTGGGGAAGCAACCTATACTATACCAATAAGAGTCCTTGGGCAAGACTCCTAACACTACTTTCGTCTGCCTGTGTAAAATGGTCAAATTGTAAGGTGCTCTGGATAAGAGCGTCTGCCATATGCTATAAATGTAAATGTAATATGGAGTTGGCGTCGCTCTTCTGGGAAGGCTCGCCACAAGATTTTGGAGTGTGTCTGTGGGAATTTGTGCCCATGAGTTCAGGCACTCATGTTGGACGAGATGGTCTGGTTCTTTCTGCCAAACCCAGATTCCCACTAAACAAATGGGTAGATATTATGATGTTATAGTTGAAAATTCTTCAATATTCTCTTTGTTTGACACAGAGCAAACAGATTAAGATATATAAACAAAGGTAATAGATAATATTGCTAACTTGGCTAATTTGGCTGTAGCATTAACGTCACCCTTCACTGGAACTAAGGGGCCCAAACCCTGAAAAACATCCCCAGCTCATTATCCCCCCTCCACCAAACGTTACTGTTGGCACTATGCGTTATGGTAGGTAACATTCTCCTGGCATCCACCAAACCCAGATTCATCCATCAGACTGACAGATAGTGAAGCTGATTCATCACTCCAGAGAACACGGTTCCACTGCTCCAGAGTCCAGTGGGCCATGCTTGACACCACTCCAGCAGACACTTGGCATTGCGCATAGTGATCTTAGTCTTGTGTGCAGCTGCTCAGCCATGGAAACCCATTTCTTTAAGCTCCCAACACACAGTTCTGTTGCTGATGTTGCTTCAGAGGCAGTTTGAACTCTGTAGTGAGAGATGCAGCAGAGGATATTTATGCTTCAGCACTTGGTGGTCCCTCTCTGTGAATTTGCAGGGTCTACCACTTTGTGGCTGAGCTGTTGTTGCCCTTCGCTGCTTCTATTTCACAAAGATAGCACTTACAGTTGTCTGGGGCAGATCTAGCAGGGCAGAAATTTCACAAACTGACTTGTGGCAGAGGTGACATCCTACGACGGTGCCATGTTTACAGCCACTGAGCTCATCAGTACGACCCCCTACTGCCAGTGTTTGTCTATGGAGGCTGCATGGCTGTGTGCTTCATTTTATACACCTGTTAGCAATAGACGTAGCTGAACCACATGAACTCGGTAGGGTGTCCACATAATTTTGGGATATAGTGTATTATGAATAGGGACCATGACAGTCATGTATTCCTGTATTTTCTAGAGGTCAACTGGGGCTCGTCAGTCCAGGCTGGTACCTACAACATGGCTCTGTCCTATTCAGTCTCTCTCTCTAGTGTAGCAGACCATGTCAAAAATTTCAGGTAAAATTAAAAAATGTACTTATCAAAACTTACATCACTACTGAATTTGAAATTTGAATGTAATTTGCTGTCTGAAAGCTCACACTTGTATCTGTAGGTATTCTCAGTAATGTTTTATTGATACTGTTTGCCTGTTTCTCTTTCCAGGCCACAGTGTCTGGTTCTAACTGGTCCTCCTAACTTGCGTCCAGCTCTGGTAGACTTTGTGGGCTCATTCACTAAGAATGTCAGTCTGATGATCTGTGGTGACATTCTCATGGTGAGTAAGACGACTTTGCATCCACATATATCCACTTATCCTGAAATTGGCTTGAACAAGTGTCTGTCTTTCTCAGGATGATGACAAGTCAGTCATATCCCAGCGAAACACAGACAAACTAGTCAAATGGCTGAACTGCAGGAAGGTGCGCTCCTTCTACACACCTTTCAAAGGAGACAGTCTAAGAGAGGGGGCTCGTCACCTCATGCAGGTAACGATCGCCTTTAAGAGATGTCCCCCCTGTCTGTCAGCTTTCTGTCCCATTCAGTTTTAGCCATACTGTTCATTTTTGGAAATGTAACTCCTTTAATCCATTAAAGGCTGCCGGTCTGGGAAAAATGAAGCCTAATACGCTGGTCATGGGCTTCAAGACTAACTGGAAGGAGTGCTCCCCCTCCACTGTGGAGGACTATGTTAACACCATATAGTAAGTCAATTTAGCACTAGACATATGAAAGGAGAATTCCACCAATTTTTCAAAATTTATACACAGTGAAATGGTTTAGATTTAAACAAAGTCAGAGTGCTTTGATGTGAAATGCAGCACTCTGTAGAAAATATTTCATAGTGGTGGTGATTGGAAACCGGGGCCATATATCAGAAACATCCAATCTCTTAAATCTTATCTGTTTAGACAATGAACATTTAAGTTAGGACTGAAATTATGACGATAGTTACAACAGAATAACATGTTTAAATCTAATGACCTTAGCTCTAGATCAGAAAACAGTATTACAGAAGCATCATAACTATGCAAAATTTCCTAAATACTGTCCTTACTTTAGGATAAACCCTGACAGTGTCATAACTTCTGTTCTAAAATTTGGTTTCTACTGTTAGCTGTTCTAATGAGAAGAGGATGTTATAGGTTCTAGGCAGCTGTGACAGGCATAACACATTTGCTAGCGTTAACTAACATTGCATTTATTCATATCACAAAATGCCGAAAAAAGCTTGCTGCATAAAATACTGCAGTGATGGTGCTGAATAATGAGGAATGCAGTCACAATACTCTTAACTCATTTGATCGAGGTTACTAAAACGTCCAGTACATCGCATTTTAGTTTTGTTTGCACCTTTTTTGTTACAGATGGTAGCTGACATGAGATAAGTCGCTGTAAGATAATAATAACGATAGGATCCGCTTCTGTAATACAAATTTGTGAAAAATCTTATCTTGACCTTGTCAGATCTTAACTTGGGACTGAAAATAAGTTTCTATAATACAGCCCAAATGTCTGAAGCGTTTACTGCCTCTACAAAGAGGCAAAGAGGGCTGTAACACAGAAAGGTTATAAATATGATGCCTCCGAAATTTTTTATGATAGCTTTACGAATGGCAGAGAGGTACATGCAGGGAGAAGAAAACTTTATTTGATTTACCATTTTTCTATTATCCACATTATGTATGAAAGTCAGAAGACATTTAAGTAAAATGGCCATATCTGCGCTGTACACTATGACCCCTGGTTCTTATCACCACCACTGTAAAGAAATCAGAGTTGCAGTGTACAGCTTAACATCGAACTACTCTGAGCAACATCGTTATCAGTGATTGATTTGTGTAGAAATTTTTAAAAATGGTGGAATTTCCCTTTGACTGCATGTGTGTTGATGTGTATTTTAATCATTGATACACTGGGATGTAACGGGCTCTAAAATTAAAAGTAAAGCAGTGGACTCAACTAAAAAATTTTTTTTGTCTCTCTTTTTTCCTTCTTAGTGACACTTTCGACTCCAACTATGGAGTGTGTATTCTCCGGATGATGGACGGACTTGACATTACAGAGGAGCTGCAGTGTGAAGGTGTGTACTCGAAGAATGTTCTAGCTTTCTTTGGAAAGATGGGTAAGAGTTCCTCAACCAATAACTGCTGTGTTTATCTGACAGCTAACCAGGCGTTTGAGAGCGATGAGGCACTCGATTCAGACCACAGCGAGAATTCAGAGGGGGAATCAGGTAAAGAAGCTTTTGCTCAGTATCGCAGAGAAACCTGAACCATGAGCACCTTACCTTTCTGAATCTACACAAGGTTTAAATCGGATGAGTTCAGCTAAAGTGTGCAGTTCTATTTCAGTGACACAAGCCAATCAAATATAACCATCATATATAATTACAGAAAGGCTGCTTGTCATTTAGCATTTGTTTTCATTGGCTTGGCGTTATCATTGTGGGCGTGGCTACTGATTGCACCAAGCTCATAGACTGATCTATCAGAAAATTTTATACGTTGTCATTCAGAGTGGTTTGGTGTGAAATGCTCAGTTCTAGAGAAACCTACCGAGTCAGGATTGTTCACGGTGGTGGTGATAGGAACCAGACGTCCACCTCTAAAAGCTCCCTCACAGAAAGTTACTACATGACATGGTTATGAATTCACTGCCTGATGCCTGAGACACGCTAGTTTTATGACAGGTGACAAAACTTTGGCCTAAATTAAAAGTTTTTAAATGTAATGTTGATGATGAAGACAGTGGAGGGTTCACTGGTTATGATGGATAGTTAGTAAACTGGCTATATTTGCATAATCACAACAAACCCAACTGCTCTGAATGACTGTTTACAAGTCAACAAATGAATTAAGGAGTTTTTTTAATTAGTGGAGCTTTTACTGAAGATGGACCAATGGAGAGAAGACAGAATGAAAGGAGGATTGAGAAAAAAAGAGTAGATTGAGTCAGAGAGGAAGCCTTATGTGTGGTTCCTTCCAATATGCCAAATACCCTGTTTAAAAATATTAAGCCAGTTCAGTTGATTGGTTTGTGATTAAATGTTTTGTTGCTCTACAGGATTTCTCTGTACTGTACCTCCTTAAAGCAGAGTCTCTTTTTTGTGCAAAAAAGCTAAATAAAATTTAAAAAATGAACTATATTCACAATAGTAGGGGTGTCCAGTGTTATCCTCAGAGGGCCAGTGTGGCTGCAGGTTTGCATTCTAAACAAGCAGGAGCTCACATGATCCAAAAGGAAAGGTGTAGCTTTTATGAAGGTCCAGTGGTGCATGTACCAGAATGTCCACTTGAGACCTAAAAACCTTTTGCTTGAATGTTATTTTAAAAAATCTGTTTCCTGAGTAATACTGTTGTCAGAATACTCTCATAATTCCATGGGTTTGCTGTTCTTATTCCTCTGCTTTTTCCCCTTTGATCCACCCAGACGAAGAAAACACAAACCATATCATAAACGACGAGATCCGAACAGTTTTTCAGAACAAACAAGGGAAGAAAACAATAGACGTGTACTGGATCTCTGATGATGGCGGTAGGATTTGAGCTTAAAGTAAAATTTCTATTTAAAAATTTATTGTACTGAGTGTGTACAAACACATTCTGTCCTCCTGTTTTTTCTCTCTCTCAGGCCTGACGCTGCTGGTCCCGTATCTGCTGACGAGGAGGAAGCGCTGGAGGAGGAGTAAAGTTCGGGTCTTTGTCATCGGCCAGCAGCAGACCATGGAGGATGAACGCAAAGAGTACATTTCTGTTCAGTTTGAGTTGTTTGTTTGCCTTTGATAGAAAAGGGCTGCGTTTGTCATGACCACAAATGTGTCTCTGTCCGCAGGATGATGGTTTTACTACGGAGATTTCGACTGGATGTCCATGATGTCATCGTGATCACAGACAGTGAACGGCCACCTTTTCCCAAAAAGTAAGAAATTCGGCTCAGACTTCAAAGCCTGAAGCATTAGTCTGCATTTAGTCAATACATCTGTAATAAAACGATGATAAACTGTGAAAAAGTAAAAATACATGGCATACATTGAGTTCAGAAGCCTTTACTATGACATGGCTATGGACAAAAAAAATCTCCCAATGCGTTTCAGCATGAGCCTTCATCAGGGAGAGTCAGAGGCAATTATAAAAACGTATTCAGTACCACATCCATGTGTATCTATTTGCGTAAGCACTGAAATTTAATGTAAGATACTGTTAAGGCGTAAGGTTCTGGTTCTGTGATAAATAAAACATACACAATTGTCCACTTTTCACTGTTGTAGTCAATCAGCTGAGAAATATTTGGCACCCAAATTTGGCTTCTGAAGTTTTAAATTGGAGCTACAACTCTGACGTTGCAACAAGCACTAGAAGTCAATAGTCACCCAAATCTTTTCCATAAATTACATCCACAAAACTCCTCTCAGCCTCTTCAAACCGCATCCAGCTTTTCATTAAGGCTTGCAGATGGTCAGTGTGGTTTAGGACACATTATGATTTGCTGTGAACTGCTAAGGCAACAATTGTTCCAATTTCCGACCCCCCGTCAGGGTTACTTACTATGTAGGCACATGGACTCAACAGATTATGGGAAGAGTCAAAATTCGACACCTGTTGTGGCTAAACACTGCGTTCAGCTACACTGTAATGTTTTATTCACTTTTATAGTTCAGAGTAAGTCATACTATGTACCTAAACTACATTGACAGGTCTGCTCCACCTTAATGAAGACCTAGATGTTATTTAAGTGGAGATGAATTCATGAAAAAGATTTGGGTGACTATTGACTTCTAATGTTTGTTAGCAATGTTAGCTTCGTAGCTCCTCTAGTGCAACAATAAAGATGCACAATTTGGATGGCAAGCATGTCTTGGCTGATGGACAACGTCTAGAGTAAGTGGAAAATTATCTGCTTTCACCGTTTCCCAAACAGAGGTTTTCACAAATTGTTGCTGTCTGAAGAAAAACAAGTATCTCCAAAACACTAACTTTACAGGAGAGGGCAAAAACGTTCTTTACTTTCAATGTAAGTTAATGGAAAGAGCTTTTATTCTAAGCAATTTTGGAGCATTTCTATTGGTCCAATCATCATGAACTTTTCACACAATGTGAAGAAGGGCTGCTGAGCTCAAATGATGCAGAAAAGTAAAAATCACAAAAAAAATGGAGATACATTTTTTTCATTGGACAGCGACGAAATGTATATAGACATCCGCCGAAGTATATTTCAGTCGTTGAGCATTTTTATCAATCTGTTTTATAAAATAACATGCTTTGAATTTGACCGCTACATGAACTCAGCTGGGGTCAGAGAAGGGGAGGAGAGAGTGAAGGAGATGGCAGGTGAGCAAGCAGCAACAGTATAAAGTTAGCTGGCTTCTATTCATAACTAGTATGTTGTCCAAGTTGCTAGATTCGCTTTCTCTTAATTTTAAGGAATGCCTGATTGATGGTGATTTGTCTAATATTTACTCACCAGATAAGGACTGAGAATATTATTTTAACAAGAAGCTGCTTGAGAAGGAGCACAGACTTGTAGCTCAGGTACCCGACGTGTGCAGATTCACAGAGAAGCCCTTTGCAAAGGGGAATTCCACTGATTTTTCAAAATTTTGAGATGTACACAAAGGGATTCAGAGTGGTTTCGTGTGAAATTATGTCTTTACAGTGGTGGTGATAGGAACCAGGGGTCGCCATGACTACAACACAAATATTGACATTTTATTTACTATCCAGAACCACCAGTGAACCTACCCAAGTCTTCTGAGTTTATATGGAATGTTGATGATGGGAAAATAGTGGGAAATCTATAAAAATCCTTTTCTTTATCTCTTTAACATCTGGCACCATGAATGAATTTTAATCTAAATTAGCTAAATCTGAAAACTATAGTAAAACAGTGTCTCAGACAACAGGCAGTGAATTCATAACCATTTCCTGTAATAACTTTCTGTGAGGGAGCTTTTAGAGGTGGACGTCTGGTTCCTATCACCACCACTGTGAACAATTCTGACTCTGTAAGTTTCTCTAGAACAGGGCGTTTCACACCAAACCACTCTGAACTCCAGACTTTGATTTGTTTACATCTTAACCATTTCATTATGCAGGGACTTCCCTTTAAGCTAGCTTGAATCTCAGCCTACTGTTAGGCTGTAGAGCGACATATTGCAGCTTAAAGGCTCAGAAGCACATCTAAATCGTCATCTTTTACAGTACTGACAAAGATGGCAGGGTAAAACTGAGGCAGACTTCAGGTCAGACCATGCGTTTTTATATATACCTACATGACAGTATATAGTTTCACAGAGCAAAAATACACCACTTGTGCTCAAAGAAGACATAAAGACATCGAAGTACATTTCAAATCTGTGGGAAACACTGAAATTTGATCTTTTGCTGAACAGTTCCTTTAACCAAAATACATTTCTTAACTTTGTGCAGCTTGAATCGCTTTGAGGACTCTATAGCCGGCTTCAGGCTCCGAGAGGGACAGCAGGCGGAGGGGTCAGCACAGCAGCAAAGGACGGAGGGTCCTTGGAAAATTTCAGACAAGCAGATGGATGCGTTCAGACTCAAGGTTCGTTTGTGATTTTGTGTGTGAATAAGAGTATGAAGAGGAATGTGTGCCAAACTGAAAAGCAGTCACTACAGTGGACAAACGCACACATGACATTACTGTTCCATCATGACATGCAGGATAGGAGCCAGGATGGAAAACAAACCCTCTATTACACTGGTTTTTACATTGCTTTATTTCTGTACTGAAAAACAATGCATGAGGATTTACATAAAAAAAAAATGAAATGCTGAATTCATGACAACTGAATACAATCCACACTGAAATATAATGAAGACATGGCTATACTGCTTCCCAATGTGCAGTAGTTTAAACAGATTCTCCTCATTGAAATGAAGGCATAACAGTGAAAACAACAAAATACATTAGCACATGACAGTACTTTTCTACAGGTGACATGTGGAATATGTGTCAAAATGCAAAGTAAAACCCCTATTACACTGTTTTCACGTTGCTTGACCTCCCTTTTTGTATTTCAAACATATTTGCTTCATTGAAATGCAACAAAAACAGTGAAATGCAGTGCACACATGAGCTTGCATTTAGGTTTTTAAAGGTCAGGTGACCCTTATTAATCCCACAACTAGGAAATTTCACCTCCACATTTAACCCATCCATGCAGTGAAACACCACACACACACTAGGGGGCAGTGAGCACACTTGCCCGGAGCGGTGGACTCGGGGAGCAGTCGGGGGTTAGGTGCCTTGCTCAAGGGCACTTCAGTCACGTACTGTCGGCTCAGAGGATCAAACCGGTGACCTTCCGGTCACAGGGCTGGTTCCCTAACCTCCAGACCATGAGTGCCCTACCGTTTTAATAGTTACATAACGAAAATTAGTCAAAATGAAAAGTAAAAGATCTATTACACCGATTTAAGGGTGGAAAGCAGTGTAGTCATGCCTTTGTTACATTTCAAGGCCAACTGTATTAAACTCAGACATGAGACCAGTATTGTTTTTCAGTAAAAAGGTCAAGCATCATGAAAATGGTGTAATAGAGGGCTTGTTTTTCATTTTGGTGCGTATTCTGCACCTCACTATGGAAAACTGAAGTCATGCATTCATTGCATTTCACATTTTTCCACTGTAATGATTGCTTTTCAATATGGCACGAGTTCCCCTCTCTATACGAGGGAGCAAGAGGGCACACGTGAGTCTGTGTCCACACCAACATGGTTATCAGTACTTTCCACTCATGTGAACGTTGCTCTCCTTGTGGACTTTCTGTCTTACAGTCTGAGAGAAAGGTGAGGCTGAATGAGATCATCAGGAGGAATTCCAAACACGCTGCTCTGGTCTTAGTGTGAGTCCTGATCCCAGTTCAAACTCATTAACAGCTGAACTTCATAAGGATTCTGTTCAATATTCATATTTTAAGTTCCTCAGTCAGGCTCAGTTGTTCTCATGAAGTTAATCCCATAACTAATGAAGATCAAAGAGCAGGAGCCGTGCACATTACTGTCTGTCTGTGTGTCTGTCTGTGTCAGGTCATTACCTGTCCCTCAGGGCGGCTGCCCCAGCTCCCTCTACATGGCTTGGCTGGACACTCTGAGCTGTGGACTGCACTGCCCCGTCCTGCTGATTAGAGGAAACCAGCAGAATGTCCTCACATTCTACTGCCAGTAACTCACTCATCCACAATCACTTAGCACTTATCAAGGAATTCATGTAGAAAAAATCAAAGAAATTTGAATACGTTTGTTGTTATGTGTACAAATTCTAATATATAACACAGTGAACAACATGATCAGCTGAGGTATCATGAAGAGAGACAGTGGTTTAGGAACAGCACTTCACTGATTACTTTGTAAAGGCTCATGTAAATGAAGCTCATGTTCAACTTCTGTAGCATTCAGTTTGACATCAGTCCATCCTGCCTGACATTTCTGGATATTTCTCCAGACTTTGATGTGCTGTGTACAGTATATTAGATTAGGACCACTAAACTTAATTAAAAATGTACGTTTTTAGTGAAATTACGAGTCGGTTTCACCAGACAGAGATTTAAATTCTATCTTTTTTTTGCATAGTTAAATTGTTCAGATGTAAACAGAGTCATTCAGAGTGGTTTGGTGTGAAACGCTCCGTTCTAGAGAAACTTACTGAGTCAGAATTGTTCACAGTGGTGGTGATAAGAACCAGACGTCCACCTCTAAAAGCTCCCTCACAGAGAGTTATTACATTAAACGGTTACTAATACACTGCCTGATGTCTGAGACATTGTGTAACGGTAGTTTTGTGATAAATGTTTGAACTAAACTTATTATAATCAGTTTATTTTAATCTGTTCATAGTGGAGGGATACGTGTAGGGTGTTCTAAGGCAAACTAGTTCACAATAAAACTTTTTGTTTCTAGATTTTCCACTATTTTACCATCAGTAAGGAAATCTGAGTCTGTAAGTTTCTCTAGATCGGAGCATTTCACACCAAACCAACCTGGTTGACTTTGTTTACACTGCAGCCACTGAATTATGTACACATTTTGAAAAATAAGTGGAGTTCGCCCTTAAGTGCACTAAAAACGCACTCACTGATTATTTTCCCATTGTTTTATATTGTATTTCGCATTTCATTTATAAGAATATAAGTTAATAAATCCTAGCAGTCATATAAAAAAATAATAATGGAAAGGGAGAAAAAACATTTTTTTAATTCCTTTATTAATGCCATGTCTGAGCTTTTCTTATTGCTGTACAAATTCAAAAATGAAAATATTCTATATTCTGTCCTCTACTGGTTCCCTTCTTCTAGTTCTCTGAATTTGGAGCTCTTGCTGATTAGGTGCTGAGTTGAATCAGGTGTGTTAAATGAGGTGCTAAACTCTTCAGTGCCAGGCAGGACTGCAGTCTGACATCTCTGACATAAATTCAAGCGTTCAGTGAATGACTGTAAAATGAATGAATGATTTTTGTGGTATATTTATAATACTTTTGTAAATATGGTGCAGAAAATAATAAGAGTTTTACTTTATTTTAAATAAAATGAGGTGTTTTGGTAAACATATACTTTTGTCTCCACTCTTTTGTGCTCAGCCAGAGCAGCTCGATGGTGAGAAGAGAACTCGGACCCTCTTCCTCCAAGACATTACTCATAATGATAAAGCTGTGATTAGCATGGGTACGTTAAAATTTGAATTAATAATGAGAAACATTTGACACTTCAAAAGATGACAAGATGGCTCTCTGTTTAGCTGCGTAGATCACCATGGCGTGGTATGGAGTTGGTTAAAAGCTCAGGGAACAATGTGAAATATAAAGCTTGAGTTTGATAGCATACGGACGGCAAAGTTTAAAGCGGAATTCCATCATTGAGATGACTACAACACAAATATAGACATTTTATTTACTATCCAGAACCACCAGAGAACCTACACGAGTCTTCTGAGTTTCATATGATGTTGATGGTAAAATAGTGGAAAATTAAACAATATTTTATCTGTGTCTACTTTGCCTGGATCTCTTCACCGTACAGCTTGCCAGTTACGCTGTGAGCCCTCGCCCTTGTTGTGGAAGACGTTTTGTGTGTGTTACTGATCCATACGCTACGAGCTACTTAAGAGGTTTTTGTTAAATTGTATGTGTTTTTGAAAAGGTAATTTGACCTTAAGTTTCGAGTCTTTTGGTCTCTCCCCTTTTAAAGAGAGTGGAGTCCGGTCTTGTACGGTTGAAGGGAACAAAGATGGCCACCGAGTGAATAAACTGTCCTATAAGCCCTTTGGAAAGACGCGCTGTCTGAGTCTGAAGCGTGATAAACACTGCCTGCTCGTACTGGACTGTACTATCTGTAAAACACTCTCTGACGACATTTTTCAAGTCAGCACAGATGAATCCTCTGCCGCCGTACATATCCCATAATACTCTGTGTCAGCACCGATGCAGTTGGAAAAGAATGCAGAAAACGCCAGCACTGACAAAAGGGACAACGCTGCCTTCTAAAGCCCTGACTTGTTAGACAGCACATTTCAGACAGCTATAGACCGCTGTAGTCGTGCGTCATTCTGTAGTCCTCCTTATGCCCATATTAGGAACTCCGGGTCTGAGCTCCATTTCTCTATGGCCAGAATGAATAGGGTTTTCAAAAAATCGCCCCTTGTGTTAGCTATAATACTAACATTGCTACATGTGAGCTAAAGCTACTGCGCTCTGAATTCATGTCATTAGACTGGCAGCCTCCTTCAGCAGGTTTTGTCAGTGAACATTTCCATCATAGATTTCCATACCTAGATGCTGTGTTGTCTGTTGTTGAGGCGATACGTCTGTGCATCCGCCATGTTGGAGAGGTCAAGATCCGCTTGTGAACAGATTCACTTGTATTGAGAGACGATGAGTCTCAGGATTAAATCAGCCACAGCTTCCTTATCACTCAACCGATTTTCACCAAATCTGTTTTGTTATAATCCTCAGACACAGATTGATCCAGGCTGCACGGATCTGCTCTCGGTAGCTTTTATTACATTAATAACCGATCAGGCTAATTATCCGTCCGGACCAGCGGGAAAGTATTCAGTCTGCACCTGACGTGAGTTTAGCGCGAGCTCATTGATGGATCAGTAAATCCATCAATGTGTGAATTACTTCTAATCTTTATACACAGAAAGACGAAGCTAAAGTTGTCTTCCTATTCGCCAGCTTGTTGTTCCACCTTAAATGGTGCAGCAGTCACTTTCTGGTGCCTGAAGCTGCACTATTTAAGGTGGAACTGGAAAAAAATAAATACTACATAACGTTAAGATCACCTGAATAGACTATTAAATGAAATAAGCTTAATATAAAACCAGAGGAAAAACAATCACATCAACAGGTTCTCTGTGCTTCACCAACCACACGGCCATATCTACACAAACATCACACAGACAATACACATCACACAGACATGAGTGTGGATCACTGCGTTCCCTCCGTTATATAATCCTATCCCTCTTTCTGAGTGTGATATTCTTAAAGTAGTGTAATTTGGGACAGTTTCTTAAACTACTGCTCTGTAATGGTACTGAATGCAGTCCAGCAGTGATGTTTACCGCCCTAAAATGGCGGCGCCATTTATGTGCTTGACTGGACCCAACACGGCATCTAGATATGTATATCTATGATTCCCATGTTCAGACTGAGGGCAGATGAAAAGGAGTCAGAACAAAATCAGCAGGTTTCCCTGCAGCTCTCTGTTCTTCATCTGATGCTCCCTGAAACACAATAGATCTTTCCTTTTAGCTTGATTTGAAAAGATCTACAAATGAACCTGAACTCAGGCTGATCCAGTACAGACTCAGCTTAATAACCCTGCTCACCCCGATAAACTGATTTAGTCTCTCAGAATATCCTAATTATTATTTTAATGCTGGTAACATTTTTCTGAGGACATTTTCTCAGGATGTTCCCCAGCTTTTTGTTCGACTTTTACCGGTCCACCTTAAATGGTGCAGCAGTCACGTTCTGATCTGCTGGGCCAATTAAGTTGGAATGGGGAAATATGAGGAGGTTTCTCTATTTCCGCTTAACAGCTGAGTAATATTAACTTATTTTTGCTGTTTCACAGAACCGACAGGTTGGTGTTTTGTCTCATTTGTGATAGCTGGTCACAGCTGCTGCACCATTAAAGGTTTTAATACATTAAAGGAAAAAATCGGTGGAATTCCCCAGCATTGGGTGTGTGAGATTTACATCTGAGAGATTAAACTGAGTAAACTGATGTAAACAAAGTCATTCAGAGTGGTTTGGTGTGAAATGGTTCAGATTTCTTTACAGTGGTGGTGATAGGAACCAGGGGGTCACCATGGCTACAACACAAATATAGACATTTTATTTACTATTTATTTACTACTATACTATAGCGAACCTACACAAGTCTTCTTTATATAGAATGATGATGATGGAAAATAGTGGGAAATCTAGAAAAAGGTTTTGGGGACCGTTTTGCCACCTTACACGTGTCTCTCCGCCATTAATTGATTTTAAAAAGTATCTTGTGGCCCAAAGGTTGACTTTCTTTACATCCCAACTAACACATTAAAAAAATTTCGTGTAAATTTCGTGTGCCTTTTAAGCTTTTTTTTCACATTAAGCAATTTTCTGTATGAAGATGTGCTTTGCTTTGTGTTTCTTAAGTGATGGGAGAAACACAAGGCTTTCTGAGGCTACAGTTCGAAACACTGCTCGCTGGTGCCACCTGCTGGCCAAGTGAGTGTAAATGCATCACAAAGGCCGAATTTATCGCCACATATTTTCATTATTTTTTATTATTTTTATTATTATATTGCAACTACATGACACAGGCCTTAAGAAGATGGCTCTGTGATATTATATCTGAATCATGTTCATCTTATTGTTCAGCTTTTTTTGGCTGTAGTACAAATCATAAACACAATCCCATTTCCAAAAAAAACCCCCAATAAAACAGAATGTAATGATACAAATCTTTTAAACCATGTATTTAATTGAAAACAGTAAAAAGACAACATATCACTGTCACATGACACTAGGGGGTGCTTATCTCACCTGTCACTAGGCTGAGTCACTGTAATGTCTGTCACATAATGCTAGGGGGTGCTTATTTCACTGTCATGTAGGCTGAGACACTGTAATGTCTGTCACATGACACTAGGGGGTGCTTATCTCACTGTAACACGGGCTGAGCCACTGTAATGTCTTTCAGATAATGCTAGGGGGCGCT